TTTTACATGGAGTCAGTCACAGTGAACAGCGATGAAGATCACAGGGAGAGTGTGCTGTTGAATTCTTTATTGTCCTCTGCTCTTCTACCTCAACAATGAGACCACTCTGCTGCTGCTGCTGACCAAGATAGATTCATTTTTCCTGAAAATAGTAAGCAACCATAGGTTGGTTAATAAATACTCAAAATACAGTAAGACTATAGTGGATGCATGTACATAGTTAATGATCCAATGATCATTAATGATCTAAAGTACCTAGATCTGGAAACGGTTCAAAATCACCCAGAAGCCTCTACCCAATAAAAAACATTGCAACATATAGTAGAAATGCCACTCCTTATCTGTGACCAGTGTCTGCTACAAACCAAAATACAACCCCTGCAGCAGTGAGTGGTGAAATAATGATAACACTGATCCACCCTGTGCTTACCTGTGCCAGTTGCCTGTGTTTACAGTCTGATTATTCACTGTGTTGTTCACGTCAAACCTCAAACACAGGTTGTGATCACCTCAGTGACTAAACGCCTCATCATCCACCTTGGCCTGCTTTTATGTCTTCAGATTCCTGCGACTCCCGTGGATGAGTCTAGACGTCATCCGCATGATAATCTGTTTACTGGAGCAGAGCACATGCTGGGGATTAACAGGTGAAAATCCCCACATAGACCTCAGGTTATGTTTTAACCACCTTCTACTGCTGCTGTTGTCACTGAGTTGACAGCTGCTATAGCAACAGTGGACCCACAGTGCAGTTTTGAATTTTTGATTGGATACCATACAGATTGCCATCCATCCATCCATCCATTTTCATCCGCTTATCCGTTGCCGGGTCGCGGGGGCAGCAGTCGCCACCCAAATCACACTGCACCGTACCAAACCTTCCTGTGGGTGGTGAGTCCACTGGAAGGTACCAACCGCCCTAACCTGGATTCACTCTAACCCAGGAGGTGAACCCTGGGGTTCCACACCAATGACAGAGACATTGCCTCTGGGCCAAAGCGCCACCCATACAGATTGCTTTTTCCTAAATGTTTTCGATACTTTGTGTGACTTTGTGAACACATGACTGCTGGCCATCTAAGAATGTTAATGTGTATTTCTCATAATATATTAGTCATAACACTTTACATTACTTTACTGTTGGAAAATGTAACCTACCACTCAGGGACGAAGATGTCTAATTTACTGTGGTCACACAGAAACAGTCTGTATGTAGGAAGTTACTCTGACAGACGTGGAAGTCACACGTGTTTTTATCATTTATTAATTAGTAAAGTAAAAAAATACTTTGTGAGCGTAATCCATACTCAGTCAGTACTCATGTCAATAAATATCGATACCACAGAGTTGATACTCCCATCACTATTAGCGATCTTGTTGCGCTACATTTATAGCTAAACTGTAATTATGCAACTGTATTCAAATACTGTACACAAAAGTATACAAATATAGTTAAAATTCAATTCAAATGATTATCATTTTGTTTTGTGACTAAATGAAATTTGATTATTTTCATAAATTATATATTCGGTCCTTGGTGTGATCCTCAACCCTGCTTTTTTGTTTCCATGGCAGATTGTAAGATGCAGTTCCATCTTTGACAAACAGCAGCAGCTTCTAAAGTCCTAGCACTGGAAAAGCTGTCAGAGGTGTAGATTATTTTTCACGTATTTTTCTTCTCTTCTGAGCTGTTTACCTTTGAGTTTAAGGCTGACTGTGTATTTTTAGGGCCCAGGTTCAGGACCTGAACCTGTCGTACCAGTGTGACAACGTATGAGTCTGCTACTGGAACCTGGATGCAACAACCGACTCTGTGAGTGTGCTGGGAAAACTGCTTGGCTGTGAGATGTTTGGACCTTCTCTCCTCTGTTGTCACCATCATCGTCTTCATCATCATCATCATCAGCTGCTGCTTCTGCTGCTTTGCATTGCAGCAGCTGTTCTCAGGACTCATGGTACGTTCCGCATCAAAAAGTTTCAACGTAAGTTTTTGTATTAAGCAAATTAAGGAAGTACAGTGTTACAAGATAAGAATTTGATGAGTACAGCTCACTATATACATCTACATTTTGTGTTTAACTCTAAAGCAGTCCAGCAGACTGCTAGCTTCAAGTGAGGCAGTGCCTCGGCTGTCAATCATGACAAGTAAAATACTAACAATAAGAGAAGATAAACTTATCCATTTCAACATTTCTAAGGTAAAAATCAATGTTCAAATATTCATGGGAGAAGAGTATCAGTGTCAGAATAACTTGTATAACATTTTTATATCTAGTGTCTTAAACGAGGGGCGTTCATGTACTATCGGAAATTTGAGAATCTGACCTTGAATTACTGAAACAGCCACCAGGTCTATTTTGATGGGATTAAAAAAGTGCTGTGATGCATAAACCTGAGGCTATTTCAACTAAAGTGTGTTACAAGACACCAAGGAAGAGGCATAATATGGCATCTTAGAAAACCTAGTTTTCCCAGTTCGAGTTTTATAGTAAATGCTTCAATTAAGCTATTTAGGGTTCATATTTGTACACTGGACTCCAGATGAGTCAGTGCCTCACCACGTATGAACCTCACTACACATGTATGGTGAATATATATATATATATATATATATGTATATATTTATATATATATATGTATATATATATATATATGCATATATATGTTTTATATGTGTATAAATGTATGTAATGTATGTATGAAAAATAAATATTGAATAAGATAAAAAAAATTGGGACTAACCAACTACGAGGAACCATTTAACAAACTGACTTTAGCTCCTTAATTGCTGAGCTGAGCGTTATGTTCCAGGTGAGGTAATAACCTCCTCCAGTCTGACTGCAGAGGTGAACCGCCCCTTTGTGCTCAGCTGTAACATCACAACAGCACCAGGAAGCAGTGTCCGACAGGTCCGTTGGCTCGACCAGCACAGAAAGGTCATGCTGGCCTACCAACAGAAGGTGCCACCTCACATCAGCCACCAGGAGCAAAGTGTGGAGCTCACAGGCCATAACAATAACAGCAGCTCCATTACCATCAGGCGAGTGCGGCTTGAGGACGAGGGCTGCTACAGTTGTGTCTTTGACGTTTACTCGACGGGGTCACAAGAAGGCATAACATGCCTCAAAGTAACTGGTTAGTACTAAGGAGGTTGATCTTCAGACTGAATGAATATGCACCCATTCAATGGTCTCTACTTTTATAGAGATTTGTTTTTTAAGTCAAATATGTTATGGATGGATTAACTGATAGCCGGAAGATGCCTCAGAAATGAAAAAAAAAAACTCAAAATATGGCTAGCCTAGAAACAACTTCAAATGAGAGCTTGTTCTTTGAAAGACAAGTCAAAATGTCTACATGTACATTTGTGCATGTAAAAAGCTAAAGTAAAACGCTAGCTAAATGTTATTGTAGCAAAAAGAGACTCTTTTACTACAACAGTTAGTTATCCTGAATTACTAAAATATAACCAAAGTTACTAAAACAGCTTAAAGTTGATAGAATGGCTGAATATTTTTAATAAAAGCAACTATGTGTTTTTTTAGGATCTTATTATATAAAATATTGCACAAAATCTACTATTACTTTGCTTTGGCATAAAAACATCAGCGTTAGTGTAACCAAAAAGCTGAATATTGGCTTCACATGAAAAGGTAAAATTACTGAAAATTTTCCAAAAATAGATCAAAATAATTAGTGGTTAATAAATACTTTTGAGATGGCACCTTAATGTAGGTAGAGATAACTGTCTTTGCTACACAGATGTAACACGGAATTTCTGTTGTTTAGGTAAAGTGCGCCTAGTGGGTAACAAGACGGCCATTAGTGGGAATTCGGCCACACTCTCCTGCTGGTACAGCCTCCCAGTGCGAGTGCAGCAGGTGCTGTGGAGGAAGACCGCGGAGCAGGGTGACACCACCACTGTGGCCGCCTACAGCAAGAAAGGCCACTTCAGTATCGAAGACGCCTTCAGAAGTCGAGTGAGCCTGAGTCGAACCCTGGACAACACGGAGCTGACCCTGCTGTCGGTGAGCACAGAGGACGAGGCCTGCTACACCTGTGAGTTCCACACGTACCCTGATGGAGAAAGGAGCGATGTCGCCTGTCTCTCCGTCTACGGTGAGTCACACAACACAAGCCACTTAGTTGGTGTTTAGATCTAGGTGAGTTAGGCCACACAGGGCCAACTGCCACGCAGGAATGATCACCTCCTTCTGGCTGACAAATATCCACACGTAATACATTCTGAAGTAATAACTGGACTCATCAATGTGTGGTTCCATAGTGTAGCAGTTATCATGCCTGCTTATACAGTATATCTGCCTTACACTCAAGAAGGTCCTGGGTTTGATCTCCAGAGGATCCAGGATTATTTGATAAACACACTCCAAGATCTGATTTAAAACAACTGTCAGGCAGATGATCTGTGATTCATCCAAGTATCAAATCAATAAAAATATCCTCACCCAAAATCCTAACTGTGGGCCAGTGAACTATTTTTTTGTCAAAATGTGGTCCACAACCACAACTTTAACCAAAAGTTAGCTGTGTTGTTGTTGTTGCTTATATCATGACATAGCTTGGCCGAACAGTTGGACGACTTTGTTATTGAGGGTTCATACCAGCGAGGGACTGGGTCATAGGGTCGCATGCGTCATTACTGGGTTAATGTGTTTTATTAACTAGGACCAAGTCTGGTTTTGTTTTCACCTCAGTGCACTGTGGTCTGAGAGGACATGTCTGTGTGCAGTTGTGTCTTGTTGATGTACAGGAAAAATAAGTGTGTTGTTTAAACAATCTCATCAGCAGCTCAGAGGGGAAAGTTGCTTTGGTCGCTCCTTAAATGGCTCTGACCTGTGCCATGCTTCGTGACCTCTGGCCTCCACTTGAACCACACCTTCATTTCCTGCTACGATGGCAGAGGGGTGATAGGCTGAGTGTGAGTGTAACGCTTCAGCAGAGAGTGTGTGTGATTATTGACCGTAGAAGGGCTGGTGCTAAGGGAAACGGGATGAATTATTGGGCTGAAGCCCAGGAGAAGTGGCCCACTGTTCCTGGAGACACAGGGCTCTACTGTCTGAGTGTGTGTGTACGTTCTGCTGCTAAACAAAGCGTGCAACTGTTCGATCTGACAAAGCTAAATATCCAGAGAGTTAAAATCCCGAGGACAAGCTGGTCTGCACTGATCCTGGTCTGGCTTTTGTTCTAGAAAAGACTTGTATTATTGTACCCCAGTCAAAAAAACAGTCATGTGATGTCTTTAATTAGACCAGACAAAACTATTAGGGTTGATCTAGGGTTTATCCCTATCAGAAATATCTGTCCAAACTGATAGTGGAAGTTTAAATTTAGACCCATTTAACTTCATATACACAGTCCTTGACTCACAGTACCTCGGAATTCCGTTTATGGCACAACGTGACATAGCTAACGTTGCTAACACTCCCAACCCAGGACCAAATACTTGGTAAATGACTGAGGGGATTGATTTTAAATGATTCTTCGGTTATTTGTAAGGGAGTCCTGAATACTAATATGTTAATTATGTTAGCATAATATTAGCCACAACACAGGTCCATTAGTAAAACAACCAAAAATAACAGTAAATTTTAACAGCAGAAATAAAAAGTTTTTGACATTCAGCTTATAGATAGAGTCATAGGTCATGGAAGAGTTATAGTAGTAGTATTACATTAGCTTGGTTTGCTACCTTATGCTATGTAAAATTATAGTACATGGGGTCCTCTGTTTACAGCGTCCTCGACCTACAGCGTTTGAGGACAATGTTTCGTGGTTATGTTCTCTTGCCATAAATTTATCAAGAAAGCCCTCTTGTTCTATCATTCCTTTTCTGATCAAATGTCATTTTCCTGTCTCCAGTTTTACCCAAACCAGAGGTGAATCACATGACTACATCGCCGGGAATCACCGAGGCTAACTGCACCACTCAGTCTCGCCCTGCGGCCGACATCTCATGGAACATCGAGGGAGACAACCGGACGATTGGACCACCCTTGTTGTCGTCCCTCGATCAGGGAGATGGAACAACTGTGGTGATCAGCACTATCATCTTCCAATCAGAGCTCTTGGATGAGCTGTCAGTCAAGTGCATTGTGCACCACCATGGTTTGGAGAAAGCCATGACAGTTCCTCTTTACCCAAAAGGTCAGGCAGTATTGCTGTTTTTTCACAACAGTTGAAAATTTTGCAAAAAAAATTTCACAAAATAGCTAAAAGCAAAGAAAAATTTAAACTAAAAAAAATGTTTGTTTTTTATCAATAAATAAACAAACATCCTGGAGTTAACATTGCATTTACACTGCACAACTTATATGAAATGTTAGCACATACATTAGCCTCCAATTGTAATGATGTTTTATAATTTAAAATATGTTCATCACAGGGGTCGGGATGACAGTTACAGACCTACAAAAGATCAGATTTTTAAAGTAAATATACATTTTCCTGTTTAAGGGTAGGAGGCCAAGGAAAACCAGACTCTTGTTTTCTTCACATAGTTGTGTCTCAACTATTTCAGTGGTTTGGTGGTGGGTAATTGTAGCTGTTCTGATGGAGTCTTGAGTCCTGTTATGTTACAGCATGTGGGGAGAAACAATATTTGACAGAAAACTGTGGCTCACAGCCACAAGGTCAAATATAGACAGTCCAGATGGCATATCTCTTTGTTTGGGATACAAGTGTTTTGAGACGTTGCACTGTGTTGTGCTTGTTGTGTTGCAGTGGGTCCACTTGTTATCATCCTGCTGTCAGTGTGTGGTGTGACTGCAATACTCCTCATCTGCCTGTGTGTGTGTCTGTGCAAGTGTTTCGTCTGTACTAAAGGTGAGTACAAGATCTGGAATTGACCCAAACCAATTCAAGTTTAAGTTAACAATACTTATTTAGAACTGTAGAATTTTCTTCTGGAGTGTTTTTGTCTCATGTGACTTTCCTCGTAACCAATGTTGCTGTCCAAGTTCAGAGTGTCTCGTCATTGCTTGGATATAGATGAAGTGTTTCTATTTCTGGTTGCAAACGTGAAAAGAATTCTGGGATTTTAAGAGGCCTGATTCAGGAGGTCAACCTCTGTGACTTACAGTAGAGTCCACGACAGAGTTCAGACTAAAATTAGTTTTCTTTATAAAGCTGCTATTGTTATTGTTTCTAAATAGACAGTGAGCCCAGTCAGCATTTAAATCCTTTCTCTCAAAAGCATGTTAGCATTATTTACCCATCAACACAAAGACAAATTCTGTTGTAACTATTTTTTTTGACTTTTGTCTGTGTGACTCCCATCTATTTTGACTACCTTTTAGTTGTCTGGTTTATTTAGCTTAATGGCTAATGTAGCTAAGGAATCTAATTAATGTAATTTTGATTGCTTGCTTCTTTGTTGTGGCTGTATTAAGTCAGTGTTCATGCTAGGATACTATTCAGTAAATGAGACAGTGGCTAAAACGTGGTGCACATAAGACCCATTTCAAACTTGTTATGGTGTATCTAGTAGGGACTGTTTGGTCTGATACTCAGTTATTGGGCCAACATTGGTCAAAATCTCAGGATTGAACATAAAAAACCCACAGTAGCCCTTCCGATCCGATACATTAGCCCAAATACTCAACTTAACTTTACGCTGTAAACAGTGACACCATCCCCTCTGGAAGAGCAGCTTGCAGCATGATGGAGCAGAAAAGAAGGTATCAGATTGATATCAGCTTTGACAGATACTCCAAGTTGCAGTATCAGTATTTGTATCTATCTGACATGAAAAAGTTGTAGCCATCCCTAGTAGTTGATACATACTAGTATTTCTCATACTAGTCCTTAGTCTTAAAAGTGTTGTTTGGGCCTCACAGTACTGGTTCCTAAAATAAGTTTGACTTCTCTGCACTGCTTGTCCGGTTGTCTGGTTCCTAATGTAAAATCACAGCCACTTTTCTTTGGCATGCTCAGCAGAGTCGTATTGGTGCGTATGATTTCAGATGCTGGCAGTTTGGCTTCACATTCAACACCTAAGTGTTTCGTGTTAAGGTTATATGTTAAAGTACACATACTGTACTTTAGGTTAGTACCACATTATTGAAAACCTTCTTGATATTTTTCAACCCAATCTTATATATTCCTTAACTTTGACACTCTTTAAAGAGGTGGTTTGACGTTGCACACAGTCACCACAGCCTCTGTCTAACTAAAGCTAATATTGAATATGCCACTTCACTTCAGTCTTTGTTGGACCAACAGTCATGAGGTGATAAAGGTTCGGGGTTAGTGGTGTTTATCTTTGATTGTCACAAAACTGAGCTAAATTGGCAAAATTAGCTATTTTTGCAAATTTTTAAATTTGCCTCAGTTATTGGTGTTTAGTATTTGTTTTACATTTTCTGAACAGTATAGGTTTTACATTTTTATGTCATATATGTCCAATTTCTGCTGTTTCTGGCTCTTGTATTTAATTTTGCATCTGTTTTGCCAAAAATTGCCAAATATTTTTGCATATTTGCCAATTTTTAGTTACAACCAAACTAATATTCACGAAAAAGCTGTGATTCCTTATTGATTCTGCTGTTGTTGATTTTTCAATTTTTTGTACTCTAACCGACTTTATGGTGAGGTGACACCCCTTCGTTATCAAACTTTTTCACTCATAAATCTTCTTTTCCACCAACAGGGAGTGAAACTGTTTAGAGAATTATTCAGCCGGTGCGTTTGCCAAAACTCAGCCCTTTAGAGAAAAGAAAAGTAGGTCAGAGCTGATGAGACAAGGTTACAACCATCCCACGGTCCTTTTCCTTTTGGCAGCACAGATTTGTGACTAAATGGCCTTTCATTTGAACTTTGATCCAACAGAAATCCTACATTTCCACAAATTCTTCCAAACTCCACCTCATCTTTGTTTTGAGATTAGCCAAGAGCATGGGAAAACATGTTGCCTCTCCTCATGTTTAAATGATGGGAAGTCTTTAAATTAGAGTCTCTTTTATTTTTTTTTTATTTTCTCACACTTAGGAATGGAAATTTACCTAGATTAATGTATTTTGGGGAATATAATTTTTTTCATCCTTTGGCTGGGTTTGCGACTTATACTCAGATGCGACTTATATATTGAAATATATAATTTTACGTTTGAATCTTTACACTGACAACCGCTAGAGGGCACTCTAGGCTTGTGCACCAGTCTCTGCTACTCCTGCATTAATGGAAATGTACAAGTTTGTTATTTTCACACCGACAGCTGCTAGAGGGCACTGGTGCAACTTATACTCCGGAGAGACTTATATATGTTTTTTTTTTCATCTTCATTGTGCATTCTTTGGCTGCTGCGATTTATACTCAGAGGAACGTATAGTCCAGAAAATACAGTAATCACAATTGATCCTGATTAATTACAATTACTATTGTTATTATTTTAGTACGATTAGGATTAATCCACAGCTACCTGTGATCAATCTGATTAATTTGATTAATTGAGAGCCCAATGTAATATCTCTCCATGTTTTCGTAGACTGGTAAAAAAAAAGAAAACTTTTATGAAGCTGCTCTTTTGATTCATGTTAGTATGTGTTCTTTTATGACATGACATTCGATCCTGAACTTTACTATCGGTTTCCTTTTTGGTTCTAAGGAGTGATCTAAAGCAGCTGTGTGAAGCCTGTAGGGTCAGAGCAGCAGTCGTTTCAGGATCAGTAGCCAGAGATGGAGATATATTTAAGAAAGAACGGCGTCTGGTTTCCAACTCGCCCACATCCTATTCCCTTGTTTTCCATCTCTGCGGTTCCTGAGCAGAATAACAAGTGGCTGTGGCGATTGTCCTCAGTTTGCAGCCACAACAAAACATTTCCCACTGGCTCTGTCAGGGACACAGGCAGACATCAGCAGACTGCAGAGAAACAACTGTGACAGAAAGGAACCAGAGTCCAAATCTGAAAGCCTGGCCTTTGATAGCAGCACTTTCTCACACTTGACTGTACAAACACAAACGTACTGTATTTTTCAGGCTTGGCTCAACTGCGGCATCCTGGGAAAAAAACAAACATAAAGGCAGTTACTGTGATGGGTTTCAGATTGTGTTTGAATGGAGGACAAGCTGTCGTCCACGGGGTGTTGACAAATTCTCCTCCATTTTTAGACGTGGCCTGGTTCTATCATATCCCATGCAGAGAGGAGTTTGGTTCTATATGCTGCACATTGCCAAATGTATGTATTAATGTAAATGTACTTTTGCATTTTTTGGTAATGTTATTTTTGGAAAATTACTTTAAATTAGGGATATCGGATATTACCTTTTTGCCAATATTTGATTTGCCGATACTGTCAAAACACTTTTGATTCAGATATCAACCGATATAGATATAGTGGAGCAGTGATGGAAGTTAAGTAAAGAGTCTCAATTATTGTCTGCCCCCTAGGGGACAGAATTACTAAAATACTACTGAACACCTGGTAATATTTATTTATTTATTATGATGTGTCTGTACAAACCACTGTAAGAGTTGCTGGCTCCAGCACACACACACAATCCCCTGATGATCAATATAGTTTAATAAAATGAGCCTAAATGGTGCCACCTAGTGACTAAAGGCTTGTTTAGCGTTGATAGTGTTCTGTGTTCACGTGTTATGAAGGAGTTAACAGTTACAGGTATGGGAGAGGGAGAGTGAGAGGAGGAAAGGGTGTTTCTGGAGAAGCTGGGTTGAGACCAATAAAGGAGTTTGGACCGAGTTACTGCAATAGTGTATCAATAAAAGTTCTTCAGAACACTGAGTCATCTGACTGGTCTGTCACCGGGGCATTGGACTAGTCTTAGAGCACACATCATTTGGCATTGTGTTATCAGGTTTTCATTATCGGAGGAAAAACCAATAACTGTTCTTACAGATATTACAAAATATACTCGTATCGGGCCAATAATACCAGTTGGTCAATATTATCAGACATCCTTACTTTAAATCACTGATGTTTGGACATGGGTTGTTTTTGTTGGCTTATAGTTTAAGGAATGTACGAATTTGGTCCAGAAAAGCCCAACAATTGAGGATCAAAACTTTTACACACTTGAAGACAACGAACTATCAGCATCAGTCTGATTCCTGGCCGAATTCACAGGACTTTGAGTTTATTCTTTCCAGCCCAGACCATCATAAACAGTCTTTCCAGCCGTGTGTGTAGTCCTTCAGAGATGGAGCAGGAGAACCTGTGCTGAGAAACCTCAGGTCAGACTGGGAGCTGGCCACAGTGGCTTCTGTGGTTTTCCTCTAAATCAGTGGGTGTAACAGGGGCTGAGGCTGTTCCAGGAAAATCTGTTTCTGCTGCTGCTCTATTCCTGTCTGACAGTTGTGGGGTTAAGTCACAATACCGACATTAAAACAGTAAACAGTAACCAATGGCGCTACAGGAAGTAACTGAGAGGCACATCCTGACATATTGTTTGAAGGGCGACACTGATTTTCCACAGAGATAATACAGGAAACATGTTAGGCAGAGGACACCTAGTGGCCTCGATGACACCCTGCAGTAGTTGTGTCTAACTCAACCCTGACAATGAACTTATTGCTAACTTCTAGCCATTTTAGGTTCATTTCTTGATATGCAGTATTGCCTGTATTTTATTTTATTTTTATTTTTTGTAACTTAGGTTACATTGTTTCTTAATTATTTAGCTCATATAAACTTAAGTTCCACTAGTTGTAGTGAGTTTTTTAGTTTTGTGTGCCATCTTTAAGATAATTCAGTGTAAGCTAAACGGTAGCGATTTGTAGCTTTCTTATTAATCTTGTTTTGAGCCAAGCCTGTTTTCTTTTTTTACTTTTCCTGCAGAAGGGTTAGCTACCATTTTATTAATGCCAGACTGTCTAACCAGTATCATGTTAACATTTTATACACAGTTATTAAGATGTTAAACTCTGTGGTTAAATGCAGGAGAGAGAGAAAAAGGATGGTTGAGTGACTCACTCTCTGTCTCTCTTTTTTTAATAATCCAGACTAATTTGGAGCCTGGCCTCATCCCTGTTACTGTCCTTACTGCTGATTCTGTTGATGAGCGTCCTGCAGAGCTCTGGACCTGATGTGCATGTTCAGCAGCCTGTTGTCCACCTAGACATGCACAGGAAGGACAGATCTTTGACACACTGGACTCCAATGCTGCTTGTAATGCCATCAGGAGCTGGTTTGACATATTTAAAGGTTGAAAATCACATTTAACTTTTAGCATAAATTAGCTGTGAGGCAGAAAGGCTGTTTATAAAGGAACTGATCTGATATTTAAATGTAGAAAACTTGAATGTGTTTCTGTTAGATGTTTAGCCAAAGCTAGGTAAAACCAGGGGAGGGGGGGTTACACTTTTGTAACTTGCTAAAAGGCAATAATAAGGGATAAATAATTACTTTTGATGACAAGTTTGAAAGCAAAAGTCTAATGTTTGAAGGTTATCCAGAGAAAGAAAAAAAATAAGTCAGTTCAAACTATGTGTCTATTATTTAGAAAGCAGAGAAAATAAAAGTTACCAAAGCTCACTGCATGTTTAGAAATAAATAACCAAACATTGTTAGAAATAGTTACGAAAAATCTTTACAACTGACAAAAAAGAGCGACAAAGCTGACACTAGGAATCAAACTTAAAACTTCTACGGCACAGAGAGTTAAAGTTAATAAACATGGCATGCTCAGGGTTAGCAACTATACAGTAATCATATCAAATAATAACAAAACACACACTATCGGTTCCATTCAAACAACAACCAAGGTGAGATGGTCAAATGTTTAAACCAGGGGTCACCAACCATTTTAAAACTGAGAGCTACTTCAAGGGTCCTTAATAATACAAAGAGCTACGGTTTTGACACAGACTTACAGTGTACAGGGTAATAATATAAATATAAATATAATAATATAGTATAGACAGATCTAGGATCATGTATTGTAGTTAAGACAACATCGTTCACTCAGTTACAGACGGCAAATGTACACAAATAAACAGCAGGTTAACTGGGTTATCACTGTTTTTCTGTTCTGTTTTATTAGCACTAGAATACTTTCAACATTTTACAATGTTACGAATTTATAAACAAACATTGACCTGGACTCTCATATTTGTAAAAACAAATCTCATTATTTGTTTATGTGAAAAAAAAGACAATATGACACCAAAGTGAGGGACGGCCAGATATTGAGTTACTGATAAAAAAAAGAGTTGAATTTCTAAAAATAAATCAGCTATAAAGTCTGTTGTGATTCATTCAGTCTGGTTAATACACTGGGTTCTTCTTACACTTTTACTTTTCCCTTGACATCTTGACATTTCTGTGTTGATTGTATATTCATTTTTTTGTTGGCAGGAAAGTCGACTCATAACTTCCGAGTTGAGCAATGAGTCGTTCACCCATAGACAGAGCAAATAAAATGAAACCTCTTTTTTTTCCATGGTGATCTAGAGTACAGGGACAGTAGGAAGGCAGTGGGTGGTGAAGATGTGGCAGAGGCATACACAATGGTCTAACCTTTTAATCTTTTTTTTTATTTTCCACCTGCCTCTCATTAACAGGAAGGAGACAGTGATTGTGTTGCTGCTTGGAACCGCTGAGTCTAAAGTTTTAAAAACAAAGACACTTTTTTTAATCAATGAAATAACACATCTAGAGGAAATGTGATGTAATCAGTCTTTCCAAACCTTCAGAGCTGTGGGGAAATTTTGTGCAACAAAGATGCACAACACTAGATGGCAGCATTGTTTGATTTGGGATAATAGGAGCGATTGTTATGACCTACTGATATTGTTTTAGTACATACAGTTTTAGTACGTACAGGTGTCATCACAGGTCTGTTCAGTGCTCCCTGACAAAAATGTTGGGGCTATTCAGTGAAAATAATTCAAATTTTTGTTTTTTTAAACTCATAAAGAATTGTCACCACCATCTCAGTTACTTATTTACTGCTAATAATTTGTCTTTGTGAGAGTGACAGGCAGAAAAAATTAACTACTCTTCCACCAGGTGGACGAAGATGGCTATAAAAGAAAATAAAAAAATAGACTGGGACCAGTTGAGTTTTTCTTCAATTCCTGCAATTCTACCAGTGTTGTGTTCAACTAAACAGATCCAGGTTTCACACTGAGTAAATTGTATCAGTGTGTTATTGTATTTCATCACAAACTTTTTGTGACAGTTTTCGACTGGTGATGTGCCAGTGGACTAGACTAGTTGTTGATCAATAGAAATAGCCGTTACATAGAGTCATTGAACTCTATTTGTGAAATTATTCCTTACAGAATACTTTCTATAAAAGCAACAATATCCACATGTGCATCTGTACATCTGTTATTCTAATGATCATTTATTGCTGGTCCGGTGTTGTATGTGCAGCGCTAGAAACTAACTGACTTAACTTACATCTAACTCCAATTAACTATATAATGGTTTTGTCTTGTGTTTCTTACATCTTCTCATAACAACTGTGGTTGTTTGGTGTTGTAATACCTAAAAAAGTAAGAAGTGGTTTTCATTTCCAAAAAACAGACATTGTTTATCAAATATTTCACAGAAGATGTTTTCTGGTTTTGTCTTGTTGGTTTTTTTTTTGGGTTTTTTTTTGCTTGGTGGAAAGTTTCATTCTGAAGTGAGATATTGTCACTTCCTGGATTCAGTTACATTTTCATCAGTAAAAAGCCCACTTCAGCTATCAGATGTTAGGATGTTAGTCCCAGTCTTAACCTGGTCAGGCCAGCTGAACAGGCTATGAACACACACAGCTAGGACTTCAGTAGTTGAATAGCCTAAGTCCAAAAAATAATTTAGCGCTATTTTAGTAAACGGGGGGCTTACATGAAACGACTTCCATCTGTAAAATACAGGTGAGGGATTTCACTCTCTTGAATTTCAGCTTGCATTTCTCACATCTCTCTGGAAACATCAGCTTTCTTCGCAGTCATTGGTGGTGTGGTTTAAATCAACTTCCTGTTCTTCAGTCAGCACTCTGTCCGCTTCCACGACTTAACAGAGAGCTATACAACTCACCACAAAGGTGATTACCACACACACACACACTCGTTCACACATACTGCACCTGACATCTTAATGTACAGGAAGTCCCCAGAACAAATCACATCTGTGCACAGTAGAAACGCTGCATTGACCCATTTCTTTAAAAGAATGCATAACAGAACACATCGGGACTCTGAAGGTCTCCTCCTGTCTTTTGTTCATCCATTTGAATGTTGTAGAAATACAGTGCCAGTGTGGTGTAGAGGTATAGTACAAGAGTTTCTACTGTAAAGTGGCTGGTGGTCACCTTGGGTAGACCACCGTTGAGGTCTGTTATTTCTGCACACAGTCAGTGGGGAATGATCTGTGGTGCTGCATGTTCTATGAAAGTAAGAGATTCACAGGATTCAACTTGAATTACAAAACAAAAACAGCAAATAAATCTCACAACAAATCTACAACACTCTTGAGTCACTTAGTATGTACCAATTCAAATGTAGGAAACCCACTTAAACACAACCTCACACAAGCTAGGAAATTTTTAAATCAAGCTATCGTGTCTTTGTGCTTAAACTACTGAAAAGAAAAGACAAGCTAATGCAGACGTGGGCAAACTTTTTAACTGGTGGGCCACAAAACAGAACTATTACCTGGAAACAGGAACAGCAATGCTTAGCACAACACACAAACACACAAACTAGGTGTGTGTCTAGGTTCCTAATAGAGAAACATAGGCTTCAAAGATTTTAAGGAACTACTGACAAAACTGTTTTTAATGAACCACAGAAAAATGGGGAACATCTGAGAAAAATGTTTTATAGGGAAATTAAAAGACATTTTGATATCAGCAGATATAGTGTCAACAGCTCTGCAAAGTATCATGATCAGCTCAGAACAAAAGCAAAACCAACCCCTCTATGGCTCTGGGACATCCAGCCAACAGGCGTTTAACTAAAAACCTGCAGTACAAACATGTTTAACCACTTGGTTAACAAAATTCAGCAGGTGCTGTGGGCTGATGAATCAAAAATATTTAGCTGTAACAGAAAACTGAGGACTTTCCCATAAAAATGTTGAGGAGCTGTGCAGGCAACAATGTTGGAAATGATTAGTAATTATTTAGGATTTCTGCAGATAGAAATGAGGATTTGGTCAAAATAAATAATGTCCCCATTGCTGAGGAAAACGAGAATATACTTATAACTTTATATTTGGGGACAACCACTTTACATAGACACATAGTTCTTATGTGGATGTGGTTAACAGCCCTGAAAAGTATTAAAAACTATTCTATGTCGACAAACCTGTATTCATGTGTACCAGGAGCAGCTGTCCTCTGGTGTGGTGTCTTTTGAGCCATGGCACATACTGTATTTTACATATGAAAATTCCACAGTACACAACGGAACAGAAATGTCAAAAAAGGTATATATTATTAAATGACATGATCTTCAAGTTTGAATTTATTTACAATTTACAAGTGTGAAACCTGGGCCTTTTTAGTTGAACACAATGCTGATGTGTTTACAGGAACTGATGAAATACACACGTGAAGATCTTTTTCCGTCAGTGTGTAGAACAATCTCCTAGTGGAGGAATGCATAATCTTACTTCCTGTCAATACAAATTAATTACCCTAAATAAATAATAGTTTTAGACCAATTAAGTGAAATTGGATAATATTCCATGGCACACCTGATGATGTCTTATGGCACACTATTGTGCACAGGGGTTGGAAAACACTGCTCTAGTGTGTGTTTGAATAGTAAGTCTAGTGCTTTTCTATGACACGCAAATTGCTGCATACTCTGTTTCCTCCTCCTGTCTCATCCGTGGTCGAGGAGCACTGACCACTAGTGGCTGATGGTTAAGCGAAGCATAGAGAACAGAATTTTCCTCTGCGTCGGCTGCAGTCCTCTTTATTCCTCGCTTTGTTTTTGGATTTGCATAAATGGAGTCATTTTGTCTCTGTGGTGTAGAAACCAGTGGCCTTGCTCCTGGCTCGGGGTGGGAGTCAAAACTCTCAGCCATTGGAATAGGGATTATCACATACTGCTGACATTAAACATGCAACACTGTCACACACATTGAACCGTATAAATGAACAGAACTGTGGATTTAAGTTGAGTTTGTGTTCTGTTCTTACCTGATTTTCACCTTCCTGTTTTGATGTTTTTCCTGCAGGATTTGGTTTAAGACATAAAAGGTTAGCAGACACATTCATATGTATACAGTATATGTATATGCATATATGGGGCAGTGGTGGCCCAGTGGTTAAGAAAGCAGAGTTGGGGCCAGAAGGTTTCAGTTTCGAGTCCACCATCTGCCAAGTTACCACTGAGGTGCTCTGAGCATGGCACCGTCCCCACACACTGCTCCCCCGGGGGCTTAAAGCAGCAGAGGTCACATTTGGTTGTGTGCAGTGATGTGCTGTAGTTTACTTTACTTCCTTTCCTATATGAAAACCATAGTTTTCTCCCTTAGATATCAAGCATGGCAGAAGTGGTCTTGCCAAGTCATAAGTCAACGGAAGTATTTCACTTTGGTGCACATAGAGCTCTAAGCTTAAGGTGGAATGTATCTAAGATCAGAACTGTCATTCGCAAACTGATAAAAGATCAAAACATTAAAAATGTTTATCCTGTTGTAGAATCAACAGGAAGTAAGACCATAGTGTGATGGGGACACTCTCTCTCTCTCTCTTTCTTTCTCTTGCTGAGTTATACTTTTGTATATTCTTTTTGTCATTTTTCCATATTAAAAACCATTATTTGAATTAGTCACAAATAAAAACTTGTGCAAAACACCAACATCTACCTGGTGATATTTGTCTTTCTGTTCTTACATACAGAAAAATGTTTTTTTATCATATTAAGGACGGGCAGTTTGCCATGATTGATCAAAATAAATTAGAAATAAAGTTAATCTTGTTAAATTCACAGCTAACCTGTGACTAATTTTTTAAATCTGATGACAGCCCTAACAAATACTCTACATATAGAAATATAGCAATGAATAACAAATATTATGTCATGAACTTAAAACATCAGACAGTTCTGATTCTTATTTCTTCTTCTTCTTCTTCTTCTTCTTCTTCTTCTTCTTATTATTATTATTATTATTATATTAAATGAATACATGATATGTGATATGTGATCATGTTACCTCCACAGCCTTGCATGGCTATGACAGATGCAATGATCACAATGATGACAAATGCCACAATCCCAGCTGCAGAGTACAAGTACATCCATTTTTCCACTGCAAGACTTGTCCTGTCTGTAAGGAAGACAGAATTAACGTAGAACACATAAAGGGTGTGACAATGACAACTGAAACTACAGCTTTTTATTATTGATGCTTGATAAAGTAACAACTCTGAACATTGTACAGTAGCAAATGTTTCACTTCCTTCCCAAATTTTTTTTTCTCACTTAATTTAAAGGAATTACAGTCAGGTGACTTCTAACCTATTAGTATACATATTAGATAACAAAAGCAGAAATATTATTATTAATTATTATGTCTCCAAAAATGTTTATGTTTTATTTTTTGGTAAAATAATAAAATCTGTAATATTAAAAGAAACATGACAACCACCAAACTATAACACAATCATAAAGACACATAGTACCATACCTTAAAAACCTTTTTTTTTTTTACTTATTCAGATTTTTAGGCCTAACTTACTAAAATGAAGGTTGTTGTGACTAATGTTTTATGAGGAAATAGGTGAAACGTCACTCAAAAGGAATGGAAATTTAAAAAAAATGTACAATTTTCTATTGTTTAAAGTGACATTTGCTAATCATGCCAATTTTAGTGATCTTACAAGGATTAATCCCTAGCCTGGTTCAGGATACTTTATGGCAGTGATCATTAAGTGCCCACCGAACGGCCCAGTCCAGCTGAATATTAACAGGAACAAATACGTTCTGTGACCTCTAAAAGTAAAGTACTGGGTTTATTATAAGGCAACTTGCATACTATACCTTCTTTACTTCTGTTATTCTTCCATGTAACAGTGGTAACATCAACACTACCTACAAAACAATGAAGGGATTTTTTTAATCAATGTGTGAAAAAGACAGTGAAGGGAGATTGGGTTCAACTCACCGTGGACTGAGACATTAATTTTGTGACCAGAAGAAGCCTTGTTTCGACACAGATACTGACCCGCATCAGTCAAACGTATTCCATGGAAAACAAGATGTAATGTCCACGATGTTGAACTGAAATTTTTCTTTTCAGTAGTTATATGACTTTGGCCACTGATGTTGACAATTACAGGGTTTGGCTGTAATCTGTACCAGGACGGTTCTGTTGAGGGTGAGTCATTGCAAGTAACAACGGTGCAGCTGATTTCAACATATTCTCCAACTGTAGCTGCACGAGTGTTATTGAACACCAGAATGGCAGGGTCACAGTCAGAATCCTCACCTGTAGATTAAAAATATTGAGATGTAAGCATTCGTACTGAAGGCTCTGTATATACAGCAATTAACTGTGCAGCCAAATATATATAAACTGTACTATATATATATATATTACACACACCGCATATACATATATATATATATATACATATATAAATTATTAGGAATGCAAATATATTATATAATATATTATAAATTATTAGGGAAGTCCAACTTGAGTTTGTATTAAAAGGTAAAATGTCTTCTGCAAAAAGTGTCATCTTGTGTGTTGTCTTTTTCTGTGATTTCTTATACCTCAGATCTGTATTCTGTAACTACTGCTAAGGGTTTAACATTGATTGTGAAAAGAATGAGTGATAGTGAGTACCCAGGTCTCACTTTATATTTCCAGTGATTCAGAGCAATATCCATTGACTCAAACTTGAAGTAGGGTTTTTATGCTGTACAGTAGCTTAATGCAGGTGTTAAATGTTTCTCCGAATCCCATTTCTGTCAAAGTCTGTTCCAGAAATCACCATGATATCTCTGCATCTACTTTGAAGTATTTGTTTTGAGTGATATTTATCACCCTGCCCTTTACTTAAAGGGAAATTAACTGCTTACTAAAAGGAAAACACAACGAAAAATATATAAGATATCACAAACAAAAACCCTATCCAAACTCACCATAAGCATTCACGGTATGAGCCAGTACTGCCAGCATGGACACATGCAAAAAAACAGTCCTCATGTTGGAGACACTGGTAGAGTCTCCTGTCATCCTCCAGTATCAGAGTCCAGATGTTGAACATTCCACAGCAATCATCATTAGGGGTTTAAGAAACGGAGATTTGCTGTTTGCTGTAACTTCATGCTGCTTCCTCTTTCTGCAGGGCGTTTGTTCAATTTCTTCTGATCTTCTTTACCTTTGATGTACCACAGGACCTGGTGAATGATGCAAAAGGTGGTGACTAAAAGTAGAAGTGAGGGGTCTTGCTTCTACATATGCAGCAGGTTCTATGCAACGAAGTTTCTTAAAAGGACAGATGGGACTTCCCACAGTCTGTCTACCGCCCCCAACAGTCTGAAGACAAAATAACGCAGACATGTCAATGTGCATTGCTGGAAAAGGTGAAAGGTGAACAGACCCTAATAGTAGCTAGCCTTGGCCGTGGTGCTTAAAAAACTTTGATGAGTAAGATGTGATTAAATAAGTTCTAGTTTGGCAATGGGCTGTCAAGATAATTAAATGTTTTGTCATTCTTTTATCTACTATTTTCAACATCTATTCACACTGACATGTCAAAGACAAGTCCAGGCCTGAATATAACTACAGTATATTTGAATACATGGTTAAATAGCCTTGGAATCACATCTCCAAGATTATGGTCAGAGCTACTCACTGTATGTAGTAAGTGAAGTAAGTATGCAGGAATTTTGTCGTTGCTATTCAAGAAATTACATATACCATAAAAATAATTTTATTATTGCTAAAAATTGGCTTCTTAAGATCTTACTCTTAAGATTTTTTTAAATAAAACATTATTATCTTATTGTTTTATTATTGTATTATTATTGTAATTGGTCAAACAAAAACAAAAAAACTCAAGTCGTGAAAGAAATTAGTGTTAACTTATTTGACAAGAGCGCACACAAGTGGTAGTCTGGTGGTACACTGCATAATAGGTATTCACGACAGCGCAGTATTTCCAGCCCTGTTTACGTAATGACGTATGTCGTTGCGTTTCCGGTTAGCCGAAAATGGCGGAATACCTGGCATCCATTTTCGGCACAGAAAAAGACAAGTAAGTATTACGTGAGATTTAAACGTAATGTTTAATTAATAGAGATTTCGGAAGAATACATTATAAACTTGTCAAATTACGCTTACCACCGTGTAAATTATGACTCCAACTTCGCATAATGACTGAAAATAATATGCGTTGGCATGAGGAAGCTAACGCTAAGCTAACCCATTGAATGAAACCCTTTAAGGCGCGTTAGCACACATGAAGTTACTCAGTCCTGTTGGTTGCTCAAATTACATTTCATTATTAACTGATTGTCCTTGTTATACTTGTGTCGCAACAAACACAAAACACTGCTAAAGCAGCGATTATTGGATAAGTGGTGTTGGCGAAGCTGCTGCTTTGCTCTCCACACACGCTACAATTTCTTTAGTGCATATTAGCTTTTGCGAGTGTATACGGAAATTTCTTATGTTAGTGGTGCACTTATTATACGTGTTATTTTCTTTATATGTGAGGGATTACTTACAGAAATTACTCAAACAACATTCCTGTTTGTGGCGTAAGTCTGCCATGAGTAAAATTAAAATTAAAAAGAAAACAAAGCCCCAAAACTAAGGGTAAGACTTGCGTCTACGTACACAAAACAAAATTGCTGTCTCTCTTCGTTGCCTTGCAATGTATAATGCCCAGATTTGAGTCTTTGGAGTTATCATGACACACAGTGCTAGAACGTAGAGTACATTGTTTTATTATTTTTTAAGTTGGGAGCGGGGGGTTGATGTTCAAATAGCAGAAAATGATACAGCTTTATTAAAATAAGTCACTGGACACTACAAAGCCCTGACTTAAAATCATGAAAACAACCACTTGAGGACCTGCAACTTGTCACATGTACATCATAATGATCGCAAAGAGTGCTACTTCTTTTCTGTCATCTTTGATTTGTTTTTTTCCTTTTGTACCTCTCTCTCTCTCTCCCAACGTGACCAAAAGCAGATAAAGAAATTCTTTCTCTACATTATCATCATTATTTGCATGATGGTTGTTGCTGTTTTTTTCAACTGTTTGTCTCTTCCTTTTTTAAAAGATCTCTACTTGTCTAATACCAAAGCAGTACTGCCTCTTTTAGGTCTGGATCATTGGTGAGATGTTTGATGACATTAATGTGGCAGCTGATTTAATTTTAAAACATCATTCTCTTCAAAGGTTTACCGTACTTGTGTCTACTTTTTTGTGTTCACAACACTTGCTCATGATTTATGTAAATGGCTGAGTTGATTCTTTGCACAAGGACACACTCAGACTGAGCAACAGATAACACTATTACTTGTTTTTCAGGGTCAATTGTTCCTTTTATTTTAAAATTGGGGCATGTCGACATGGCGATCGCTGCTCAAGATTGCACAACAAACCAACCTTCAGTCAGGTAGGAATGCCATCAGTGCTATTTGTCTGAAATATTACAGAAAGACTTAGGCAGAATATGACACAGACAATCATTTCCTTAACCTTGTATATTAAGACTGCCTGACATTATATCTTTTGACTACTTTTTTCTCTGCCCCTACAGACCATCTTGATTCAAAACATCTATCGTAATCCTCAAAACAGCGCACAAACTGCCGATGCTTCTCGCTGTAAGTAAAAAAGACAAATGTTAAATTGAAGGGTACTACTTTAAATACCTTTTTTAACCTGGATATCCAGATCTCTTGAGTACAAAAACTCCTTGCAGTAATACACAATAGACAAGCAATTTTATTCAATCAAAAAACTCTTCTTCCAGACACTAAACATTTCCCAGCACAATAGGATTATCTCCTCACATAATCTGGTAACTGTAGCTTTGAACAGGTGATTGTAGCCTGGGAGCATCCTCAATCTGTAAACATGTCAAAACCAACTGTTAGCAGAAACTTGTCAAAAAAGTACTATATTAATCCCATATCTGGGAAATTGTTGTGTTAGCAGCAGATATGCTGTTAACAGGCTGCTCCTAGCAAGCACCAAGCATGTGGTTCCTCTGGGAAATTCATCTATCTGGCTTTCTTTCTTTCTTTTTTTTTTTTTACTATTTTCTATCTGTCTTGAACTTGGTCAAAGTAGCTATCTTAGTGATGACACCCAAAACACAAACTCATAGACTGACATGAGGGCAGAGCACCTTAGTGTGTAAGCGCATCGTTTCCACAATTAACTGAAGCTCATTGCAGTTTCCTGACAGAAAGTATCTAATCACAACTTTGTTTGCCTCCCCAGCTCTATGTTTTGGTTTGATTTATATCACAGAAGTTTACGTTTTGTATTTCAGACAATTTCCCTCTTGAACATTTACCTTCATAACCTTGAAAACCCTGTCCAGTCTGCTGATGGTTTTGACTGTAAGTTCTCCCTTTTATATCCAGGACTGTAAAACAGGTTTAGTTCTGAGAAACTATGACATCAAAAGTAGTGCATCATTTCTTGGGGTTAAAATATAGTTGGCCTGGTTCTGTTTATGCATTTCTGTTGGCCTCAATCAAAAGATTCCTGAGATGATATGGTGCAGAAGTGTGTCTGGACCAGCTTCAGTTCTACATATTTCATTTTTAGTTGTTTGAAAGAGTTTATTGTACTGTAACTGTATCACAGTTTCACAGTGATACACACATCATAACCTTTCAAATAACACTCATTAGTTATAGTAAAGTATCTAAATATTTGATACACTAGTATGTAGCCCCAAAACAGCCTGAAATAAGAATACATAAAAAATGGGGATGAAAAATATTCAAATGGGAAGGGCTCCAGACTGCACCCATGTTGCTCATTTAGAGAATATTTTAGGAGTCGAGGCATTAAAGGTTTTTTTTTCATCTCACTGAACCAAGAGATTTTGTTTTACAAAAAAAAACTCAGATTTGTGAGGACCCACAAATTCTGATTCTTTGTCGTATGGTCTTTAGTTGCACAACCACCTTATCGAACAATAATTCAATTTTGATTACAATTTGAATCCCCACAATCACATCAACGTTGTATTTGAAAAAGAAAATACAATAATTTTGTGACCTTCAGTTACTCAAGTTTTCTTATTGCCCTCCAGTTAGTGCAATATGGACAAGTTTACTTCAGCCAAGTTCATTTGGCTACGCAAAACACACAGGTGTATCCTCACAGTGGTGTTTTAAAAAGTCAGTGCAAGTAAATATGGTGAGGAGGTTTTGCTCAGTAAGAAAAGTGCTGTTAGCTTACTGGTGTGGGAACACAGACACATTATGTGTAGGTTTTGCTACTCATCAGTCTGAACCATTCAGTCACATGACGTATCTCTTTAACAAACAAAAATTCCACCTTCAATTAACTTACAATCCACTAGCAAATCTATTAAGACCACATCAATGTCTTCACATGACAACCACCAATTAAAGACATTGAATAATATAACAGCAGTCCTATTAGTATTTACTGTTTGTGCTTATTATGTTGATGTCTGGAATATATCAAGTATAGTTTAGTATAGACAAAATGTCCAACTATACCATCGGTATATTTTGACATTGAGTGCTAAAATGTGAGCAAAAACATTTTTAGTCTGCAGTCTTTTTTGTCTTGGTATTATTAATCATTAAAACTGACATAACATTTCTATTTTTGTTTATATCTTGCATTTTATTGTATTTCATGTATTTTCATATTTATAACTATTCATTTCAATCTGTTTTATTTACAGTAGTAAGGAATTCTGTATGTGCACAACATTGCTGATTATATTTTTCTGTTAAATAAAAAATGACCTTTTTATAAAATTTGTGTATTATACATTCAGTTATTTCAAGGGACACATGCAAAATTGTATAGTAAAATAATATATTTTCTGTTCTTTAATTACAATAAATATATACTGTATATATATAATTCTAAATCTAGAACAGCACAATGGTTTGTCAATGATGTGCCTACATGTGTAGGGTTCAGAAGATCCTAAAATGCAGGTTTGTACAAAACTTTACATGAATATTTTCATTTTCAACTCTCTTAAAATAAGATTACAATACAACGCTTTTGAATTTTTTATTGAGTTTTGCATTGAACACTGTCTAATTCATTTAAATCATGAGCATAATGGCTATTAAAACCTTAACGTTTTAAAGACTCCTTCGGTGCCTGGATCATTATGGCAATAAATCTGGAAATAAATGTTTCTAACGTTTTGTGGTTTTACTTTTGAACCCTGTGGTTTAAAAGCATTGAAGACACTACTGATACGTATGGAGCCCTGAAGTGATCGGCTTACTTCCTAAGTGAAATGGGTCAGGTTGCCAAAAGTTGTCCGTTTTGGTGACTCAAATCCTTTACCACTATAAAAGCATGCATAAACCATAACTAGTTTGTTGTATTTTAAACATGCTTGCATTTACAGATGACTTTTCTTTAATGCATTTCAGCTTTTTGCTTACTGTCTCTTTTTGACATTTTTGTAGGCGCTGTCAGTGATGTGGAAATGCAGGAACACTATGATGAGTTCTTCGAGGTGAGTGGTCTTTCGTTCGTCACCTAACCATGTCAGCACAACTACTTTATCTCTTTGCCCTTGTTCACTCAAAGGTGCAACATAACATTTGCCAAATGAGTCCGGAGTTGCCTTTAGCATTTGGGTTCAGAGCAAATATTTGCTCAACGACATTGGCTTTTTTTTCATTCCGTACGTCATGGAAAATTTTTGGATGTCACAAATGTTCTGCTTTTTTACAGGAAGTGTTCACAGAAATGGAGGAAAAGTATGGTGAAGTGGAGGAGATGAACGTGTGTGATAACTTAGGTGATCACCTTGTTGGCAACGTCTATGTCAAGGTAGATGATTCATTCATAATTATAAACTCTGAGGAACTGACTTGACAAAATTGTATTGACAGTGTGATATTATGATCCCCTTGTAATTGCTTTCTAACACTGGATGTAGTTTCGCCGTGAAGAAGACGCAGAGAAGGCAGTTATGGACCTCAATAATCGCTGGTTCAATGCTCAGCCTATCCATGCAGAGCTTTCCCCCGTCACTGACTTCAGGGAAGCCTGCTGCCGTCAGTATGAAATGGGGTGAGAATGTTTGCTTGTTCATTGTTAAATACAATAAATAATTCACAATAATTGTACGAAAAACCCAGTATTTCCAAGACTCATAAATACACATTTTGAGGAAAAAACAGCAGTCTCACTATTTCACACTCCTTGACAGAAGGTAGCATTAATACCCCTCTAATGCACCATAAGAGGTGCAAGTTGACACTAAACATTTCACATCACAGAAAAGACCTGCACTTCAATCTATATGCCTATTGAGCATGGTCACACTTAGGTACATCACACATGGATTTTCTCATATCGAGGACAAATACCCTCAGTGTGTTGTTGTTCAGTGAGATGTTATCAGGTGCAATCATGAAACTTTCAAATTTGAAGCAGCATTTGTGAATATTGTTTTGCTTTTAATTACCATGTTCAGTATGTTTAATTTCAACAGTCAGCTCTATTATAGTTGATCAACTTGTCAGCAGAACTGTACACCACTCATCTTACCATATCAGCATTCTGGATAAAACATGAAATGTATCAATTGCATGCAGGAAGTTGCGTTCAAGATCTTTTAATCCCCAAAGATAGATGAAGTTTCACATCTGCCTTTTGCTAATCTCAGACCCTCTCAAAGTTACTGAAACTACTCCAGCACCACCATGTGTGCTATCTTATTTACAACTCCTGATCTTCGGATTTACGAGGCCCAAAGGATTTTGAGCTGCTTGATCTGCTCTTTGGGTCAAGGGGAAGATCAGGTTTTGCTGGTTTGGCATCTGCGTAACCAACTTAATACAACAGTCCAAGTTTAAAGTGAAGATGTTTTTTTTTGTTACAGAGAGTGCACCCGTGGCGGTTTCTGCAACTTCATGCATTTGAAACCTATATCGAGAGAACTTCGTAGAGAATTGTATGGTCGGCGCAGGAAAAGGTGCAACATTCTCAAACGTGAAAAATATTTCCAAAACATAAGTACCATTTTTTTTTAATCAGTGTTGTTTTTTCACAAACCAGACATCGCTCTCGCTCACGTTCTCGAGAACGGCGCTCCCGCTCCAGGGATCGACGACGGGATCGTGAAAGGAGGAGGTCGAGAGAAAGGGAACGATCTGGAAGATTCTGAAGGAGTCCAGTCAGTGCTACCCACGGTTCTGTCTCTTAATACCATTAGAAATGAGTTATTTTTTGTGGTCAAAGTGATTATGAAGTGTTTTTTTCTTTTATTCCCTTTTTTAAGATGAACATGTGTTGCTTTCTCAATAAAACAGATTTCTAACTCTGCATTTGCATTTTTGTTACTCAACATTGGGGGAAGTTGTGCCTTGAACCTTAAGTTTCAAAGGTTAGGTGTTTTGTCACAATGGTAAAGATATAGCACAAGTTTGTTTGATTTAAAAAATAAAGAACGTGGTGATCTGGGGATAACGTCAGCATTATGGCACAGCCATCTCTTGTGTGTGGGGGAGAGACATTTAACGTTAATTATGTAAGAGGAGAGAGTAACTAAGGATACAGTGGCCCTGTTTGCCTTGTAGTGACTGTAACCAGACCTGCAAAAATATGGCTAAAAAAATCTATATTTAGCCAAAAGTAAAACCCTGTAGGGAACGTCAAGCAAGCCAAGGCAAAACCGTAGCAAATGTAGTTAAAATAATAAATTAGTAGACACTGTTAGGTTCTTTAGACAATGTATAAATAGTAGCCACACACATTGTAAAATATAAATTCTAGTCTATTCAGAAATTCCCCATAATATAGCACACTAAAGGTAGCCTAAGGAAATGGCTGAAACGACAACAATAAAATATCAAAAAGTTACCACAAAGACACAACTGTGGTGCAAAATAACAGCTTGCTTGCTTCAGAGTTAAATCTGGTTAAATTACAGCATAAATAGCGAATGGACATGTACAATATTTAATCTAAAAATGAAATTAACAGCACTAAAACTGAGCCTAAAGTATAGATCACAATGCAGTGGTAATTTAAAAGGTTGTATCTTATCTCCGAGCTATAGGTTTTTGTATATTCTTATTTTTAATAAATAGGATGACTAATGTACTGTTAAAACAACTAAGGTAAAAACAACCATACCCTATCCTAATAAATTCACAAAATGCTCACGGCCTTTTAAGTGCAGTAACAACAAACAGGTGGTGAAGGAAAGATCATTTCCCAAGCTACAACTCCCCCATATCCACCCAGCAAACACGCTAACGCACACGCCTCCGTGGCGTAACCCATTCCTGTGATTGGCTGAACCACCTAAACAGACGCCCTCATTGCAGCCAATCAGACAACATCTTAAAAACTCTACCCATCCTGCTCCACGTGTGTCGTCACTGCGAAAAAAAACCTTGTGCCTTTGTCGGTGCTGGGTTTATGCATAGCTGTTCCCGCTGCTGCCGTCGTTAGGAGCTGCTATCCATTAAATCAACCGATCTTCACCACCTCTTCCCGGATTTCGGACGCCTTTGTGTCATCCGGTGAGTCAGACAAGGATGGGTAAAACAATGTAGTCGAAATATTCATGGGAAAGGTTTTTGTTCATTTTTAACGCCATTCGTGTAAAAATGCCAGTCTATGGGGCTTGCTGATGCAACATTGGCATTGCTCAGTACGGAACTGCTTCGTCATTGGAAGTTTTTTGTTGCCATTTCCTGCTTATTACTGGTAACTCGAGTGTGGCAACTGTGTATGTTATTATTTGTAAACACCTAAGGCCACGTGTGTACCATTTCCCTAACCTCTCTTTCTCCCTATCTATCTATCTCTCTGTCGCACGTTTTCTTTTACAATTTTTATTGCCTGTAAATTGGTCCCTGTTTATGACAATGTTCTTCGAAACTACCTGACCTGTTAAATCTCAATGTCGAGCCTACATTCAAGGGCGTGTTACCAGGACGCGTTCTTTTTTATGAACATTTTAATGTCAAAAACAAATCACCTCAGAACATTATCTGCCTGTAATCAGAGATAATCTGTTTTTGAGTTTTGTAGTTTTACAAAAAAATACACCATATTGTTCCAGATGAGTCTATAGTGCTAATATACTCGCAGGTATTGAAAATGGACTTTAATTTAAATTAAAAATAACTCATCTGACTATTATTTGTATTTTCTCAGTATTCCTGTCAGTGTAGAGATTCATACTGGCAATTATCTGAACACAAGCCCAAGTTTTAACCACTTACAGTCAGAAAAACCTTTTTGAGAGATGCAGTTGTGTAAATCTGTCGCAAATCTGTTAACATCTCCAAAGGTGTGATTTGAAAATAGGAATTCCTGGTAATCTCATTAGCCTCAGGGTTTGTGTGCTCTTCAATAATCACCTTACGTACATTAACATTTTTACAGTAATCTCAAAAGCAGTTTTCAAGTAATACATTACTTGGTTGTTTCAGCCCTAGATAGTGATAATCATTAAATTAGCTGAGCATAGTTCAGATATTTTTTGGAGCTGAGCAAAATTTTCCACTCCACCAAAGTTTTCCACTCTACGATCTACTGGTTTTAGTGCTCTGGCATGTATTTAAAGGGCTAAACTCTTTAAAGGCCGTCCTCAAATTCCCCCTCATACCTCCCCTCGCCTGTGCACTTTGGGCTTTTGCCATGTGCTCTCACGCAGAATCAAATTGCCACCCCCCCCTTCCCGTCCGACCCTGAGGGGAAACGACATTTCACCCGATCTATCCACTGCTGACACTCAGCCTCTTTAGAGAGTATAACTTTAATTGGCAGCACTGCCTGTTGAGATACGATACCAAACGGGGGATTTATGTAGACAGCAAAGGAAGCACATACATGTTGCCCGCAACTTATGTTGTTGGCAACATGCCTAATTCGTACATGTGTGGCTGACTCAAGACAGTACATGCTGGTTAGGTTTATGCCAGATTTTCTGTGGTGTCGTGTGGAAGGTCAGGTCTCCTGCCCTGGTGTTCCTGCCATCTTCACCACAGATCACTTCTGTTGACTTTACTGTCTGGTCATGTCCCAGAGGCTGGTGTCCTGTGTTTGCTTTGTGTATTAGTGATGACCGAAAGCAGTAATTCACAACCACTATGCCATGGAAATTTGTTCAATAACGGGTCCCCCATCAACTTGTCCTGTCCTTTTAAAGAGCAGTTACAAAGCCACAGCACTAGACCAGGTGTTTCATCCTCACACAGCTTTCTTTCTGGTTCTCAGACAGATAAGAAATAAAGCCTTTCATAGTCTCTTAATGTCAAACCATGTGATTATTATGTATTTAAAAATTCACTAGTGAGACCAGCAAAGCCAACGATTCAAGTGTAGACCAATGGTTGATTTTTTTTTTTTTTTTTAGCTGTTGTTTCTTGAATCTCATCACCCATGATTTTTTTTGTCTGGCTGAAACAGTTATGTTGACCTGTAGGCATTGCAGGTGTTTTAATCCAAAAACACCTGCTTGGCTTTCCACAAGAAACTAAGGCACGACACATAATTAAATGTACACATGACGAGAAAAAAGCCCCAAGGACAGTCTGTTGCTTATCTTATCTTGTGTTCAGCTACTCATTGCTGTAAACGTTTTTTTTTTCTTTTTTCTAAAAACAAGGTGGGATTTGTTGTTTAGGGCCATAGGACAACTCCCTGCACATGTGGAACTATTCATTTAACCCCTACATCTTTATGCTCTTTAAAGCCTTGAGGTTAGGGGATACTTGAGCTCAGAGGTTGTTTTGTGAGGGTCGGATATAGGCCTGCACGATATGAGCAACATTTAGGTGAAAAGCAGATGCCAATTAAAGTTTGAAATGAAAAACAATATTTATATTGCATACTTTTATTGAACAAATAACTAAAACGTAACTACGTAACTAAAATGTACACATTAGTATATGAAAAAATAAATTAAAGTTTAATTTCCCTGCTCTCTGGTTTAAATAAATTGCATAAATACATTTCTACAAAAAATTTCACTACAACATGTCTCAGGAATATGAAAATAACCAGAAAAAGATGGCTAGTAGAAAAAGAAAAAATAATTATACAAATGTAAAATAGTAATACAATTATATAAAATGTACAATAGTTTCAGAATAACAGCAACAGAAATATAAGTCCATAATTATTCTGTAATTTCTGTGTATCTTTTGGAAGTTTTTCACATGAAGCCACAGTCACAAAACTCGTGATGTTGTGTGGCTTTACTACGACTCAGCGTTTGTTCTCTAGATTGACTGGCCTTGATTTGCTTGTGCAGCTCTTTATGGTGGGTCAGCAGGTGATGGAAGTTGGTGGTGTTACCTCACTGAAAATATCCCAACGTGCAATAGTTTTCAGAATAAGCCATGCCAGCAGTTCCTTCATCCAAAGAGCCGGCCAACTTGGCTACCATTTGTCCTCATGCTGCCAACCTGCAAAACCACTCCAATGGAGAGGGCTCGTTGCCACTTAAAGGTATGGACAAGATCTCCAGAACAAAGGACGCAGAGGAGGACACAGAGGGAGCAGTTCAGATCAACAGAAAGAGCAGCTCTCCTGAGAGGAAATGGATCCGTCCAGACCTTCCTAGCCGCTGCACATGGACCCTGGGAGCTTCAAAATCGGAGTCTCCTCATTCTCAAATTCCCAGGTTGGTTGAATGTCAGGTTTTAGTGAAGCTTCAAGATTAACGTGTCAAACTTCCATTTTCACATTTATTTAAGATTAAGTTTTAAAGCTTTGATTGCATTGTCAACGTTTCAATCGTATAAAAGTTTGTGTGTGTGTGTGTCTTTTCTCTTAAAAGAAAAACACTTCAGCCCATTCTCCCAAACATCCTGCACAGGATCGGTGACACTCCCCTGGTGCGCGTCAACAAAATCCCTAAAGCCTTTGGCCTCAAATGTGAATTACGTGAGTTACTCAGCACACATGTTGAGACGCTTTCTGAGACCTAACTTTATATATATATATATATATATGTATATGTATATATATATATATGTATATGTATATATATATATATATATGTATATATACACATACATATTAATTCTGATTGGCTGTCTTCCAAGGTAATAAATAAGGAGTTTTGCTGTTCTAGCAAAAGCCAGGATGCATTTGGCTCAAAACCTGACCTGAATTGCTATCTTTCTACCATGTGAAATTTTATTTTGAATCGCCCACCCCTCAACAAAAGAAATTCAGATGTGTCTACGGCATAAGCACATTTTGTCATTTTGCCACGTAGCAACATATCAATGTTTATACAAGCACAACGGTAACAAGGAAGTGCTTAGAACAACTGCGAAGAACCTGTTATGTGATTTAAATAACAGCTATAGGCCAAGACCAACTTTTTAATCACGTGTTTACCACATCTTTAGTTGTACTCCACTTACTGTGCTAACTTCAATGATAAACATTTAAATTATGTCAATTATTGGCCATGCACCCTCCCAGTGGAGACTGGTGTTACTGGTTTAATTGTGTAGACCTTTTAAACAACCAGCCTGAAATGACTGTGTTGTTGCCTGATAATAGCAAAAACTAATCAGCTTCTGGATCTGGTCTGCTAAAGCAACAGACAAAATGTGTTCATCATAACCCTCATAAAATCTTAAAATAAAAAGCAAGTTGTAACAAAAGTAATGCTTTCTATCTAGATTGCTGGTTTATGTGAATTACATTTATTGCATTTACCCCCACAGGATGTCATAGTTGTTTTTTGTGCTTTCAGTTGCCAAGTGTGAGTTCTTCAACGCTGGTGGCAGTGTCAAAGACAGGATCAGCTTGAGGATGGTGGAGGATGCGGAGAGATCTGGCCTCCTCAAGCCTGGAGACACCATCATCGAGCCCACCTCTGGAAACACCGGTAAACCAATGCAGTTGTCTGAATTTGTCATAACCTTAGGTTTAGTATTATTTTAAAGGAAATGTGTTGAACAGCTGCGTCATTAAACTATGAGTCGTGTGTATGTGTTGCGTTCAGGAATCGGCCTGGCCCTGGCTGCTGCAGTGAAAGGCTACCGCTGTATCATTGTCATGCCAGAGAAAATGAGCATGGAGAAGGTGAGTTTATTAAAATCCAATTATCTTGTGTCACTTTTTTTTAATCTGGTTGGGCCTTAAAGTTACCGTTTGACTAATTTAGGCAGTTAATGTACTTTCCAGTATATATTTTTTTTACTTATGTTACGGTATGTTAAAGTGATGATGTATTGTCACTGATGCACACCACAACATCACACATTGAAATCGGTATTGCATATTGTAAAACCTTTGGATTAAAGTAAGCCTATTTGGTACAACTTGCATAACACCATAAGTAACACTTTTAGGCTGTCGTTCCTTATTGTCTGTTTTCTTTACAGGTGGATGTCCTGAGAGCCCTCGGTGCTGAAATTGTCCGTACTCCTACCAGTGCTCGCTTTGATTCGCCTGAGTCTCATGTGGGTGTTGCCTGGCGTCTCAAGAATGAGATCCCAAACTCGCACATTCTGGACCAGTACCGCAACCCAAGCAATCCTTTGGCTCACTATGAAACCACAGCTGAAGAGATCCTAGAGCAGTGTGGAGGTACGGAGAACTATGATCTCCAAACACTTTAAATGTGTTCTTTTGGACGTATTTTACTGAATCCAAAAATAATGTTGTACAAGTAACCTCTTGCTTATGTCCATACGTCAGGTAAATTGGACATGCTGGTGGCAGGAGCAGGCACAGGAGGGACAATCTCTGGTATTGCCCGCAAACTGAAAGAAAAATGCCCCAATGTCAAAGTGAGGCACTCTCCACGTAGCAAATAACAATCATTATAATCTCAAAAAAGCATCAGAAATCTGGTAGTAAAAATAGCTGAGAAGCTAACATTGTCCTATGAAGAGAAAATGGTAGAGGTAGTCAAGGTGCCATAATTAGAACAGAGGTGATTTAGGCAAATTATCAGGAATAACATTAGTAGCAAATTAAGAACAATGTAGTATAAGAAACCTAACAAGCAGAAGTAGCCAGTGTGATGTAATATCTGAAGTTAAGTAAACAGCCAAAGTGACAGTTGTGGCATTAAATGTGTAAAATTCTAGATGAGTCTTTGTAAGGAAGACTTCTGGGGTCTGTTGTAATTCACATTATTTAAAAAAAGCAGAACATTGACTTTTTCAAAAAGTTAAATAAGGTAGAAATTAAAAAGTAAATGGGAGGTGTCTCCTGAATTGGCCAAAAGTGTCAAAATGTTGAAGTTATTTAAAAATATTGCAGGAGAAACCAAATAAAAACATCAGCAGAAGAGCCTGATGTAATACATCACGATAATACCAAAAATACCTTGTTTAGCATTTCCAACAATTAAAGCATGTGTTTATTATTTGTTTAAATTGATTTACAAGAGGGGAAAGTATGGTTGTTATGTGATTATGATGTGTTGCAGATTGTGGGTGTTGACCCCGAAGGCTCCATCCTTGCTGAGCCAGAGCAACTTAATAAGACGGATAAAACCCAGTATGAGGTGGAGGGCATCGGATATGACTTCATCCCCACTGTGTTGGACAGATCAGTGAGTTTATAGCACTTTTACTCCCCAAAACCTTTCTCTTAAACAACCATTCATTTTACCTGATTACTATTTATTTTGTCCAGGTGATTGATACCTGGTACAAGTCAAATGACGAGGACTCTTTCAACATGTCCCGAATGCTGATTAGAGACGAGGGCCTGCTGTGCGGTGAGTTTCCAAGATATTCTTGTTGCTGTAAGTAAATGAACCTGGTTCAGCTTCCTTAACAAACTCCTGTTTGGACTTTTCTAAAACAGGAGGCAGCTCTGGTTCTGCCATGGCTGCTGCAGTCAACGCAGCTAAAGAGCTCAAGGAAGGTCAGCGCTGTGTGGTCATCCTGCCAGATTCCATTCGTAATTACATGTGAGAAAACCCAGATGATGCATTTCACTGGAATTTGGTTGATTTTAAAGATCTAGCAATGATAAAATAGCAATGCACAGTGGTTATCAGGACAGCCCTGTGGAGGCACCAAGTATGTAGTTCATCTGGGGCTCAAACCCAGGACCTTCTGCATGTAAGGCAGATGTGTAAGCCATGCATTATAACCGCTACACTAAGCATTTGTCCTTCATTTGATTAAGAAACATCATACACCACACTTAAATTCTGGTGTGAGTGTGCAGGCACATAGGCATTCATCATTGCAAGTAACCTGTTTGCCATCTTGTGTGACTCAAAATGGTCTTTTATGGCCTTGACTTCAAGATCACTTCTTTTTGCCATTTTACATTTTATGAAACAGCTTTTTAAACATCTTTTTAAAAGGTGATTTTAATTTGATTTAAAAAAGAATTACCTGAATAACTCAAATCTTTTACAGGTAGATTTTTCACAGTTTTTTTTAATCATATTCTTAGGTCCAAGTTCCTCAGTGACAAGTGGATGGTGGATAAAGGGTTCCTGAGAGAGGAGGACCTCATGATAAAGAAACCATGGTACGTGAAAACAAGTGTGACACACTGCCATACAAACACAAAAACTAGGTACGGACACAAGCATTTCTAATGTTATTTCACTGTTTAAAGTAAACAACCAACCCCCAACCTCTACCCTTGGCATACCAAGGCTCTGGTGGTGAGGACCTCATGAAAGATCCTCATAGTGTTTTTTTGATAGTTAATTCAAAAATTAATAAATTACAGTATTTTCCACACTATAAGGCGCACTTAAAAGCCTTTAATTTTCTCAATAAACGACATGCGCCTTATAACCCGGTGCGCCTTATGTATTACTTCTGGTTGCGCTTACTAAGGTCGAACTGATTTTATAAAGCCAATTCACACAGCGCATCACACATGATGACACACAACTGAAGCACACTGGTAGCCAACATTGACGTTTAACTCTGTTATCACAATTAGAAGATGCTCAACAACATTTATTACAGTATGGTTGTGTAACCCAAATCCACGCAACGTTGCGTGGTGCCTCCCAACACCCGAAGACTACCTTGTGTTTTTGTGTTATCGATGAAAGGTGCAATGCAGGACGATTCAGACGCATAGCTGTCGATTTTTTTTCGTGGTCAAAAACTCTTTATTTCTACTTTTTTATGGATACAGGAAAAACACACACACTCTCTCTGCAAAACAACATTCGCAGTTCCGCACGGTACAGCGTCAAAACAGTTAAATTGCGAGCTGCGTGGGAGCACTGGGTGACAGAAGACGAACACACATTCACCAAGACAGGGAGGCAACGCCTGATGAGTTACGCCACTATCTGCTTATAGATAGATATAGATTAAGCAAAAAAAAGAGGTAAATTTGATAAAAGGCAGTTTGAAATAACTTCTGCACCTGTTTTAAAAAAAAGTCATGAAAGTAAAATAGCCACTTTGAAAGTATAATGTTTAACCTGTAAAAGATGAAGTTGGATAACCTAAAAAAATCTTATTTCTCTTTTGTTTTCAACAGGTGGTGGAACATAAAGCTTCAGGGTTTGAACCTGTGCGCTCCGCTCACAGTCCTGCCCACAGTTTCCTGTCAGAAGACAATCAAAATCCTCAAGGAAAATGGCTTTGACCAGGCCCCTGTGGTGGATGAGGCTGGGTGAGTGCACCATGTAGACTGTCACACTGTAACACTAAATCTGCAACCAGTCATACCTTAACAAAAATCTTTTATTTATTTATGTTTTTACAGGTTAATCCTGGGCATGGTGACTTTGGGCAACATGCTAGCATCCATTTTGGCAGGAAAGATTGGGCTATCAGACCCAGTGAGCAAAGTCCTCTACAAGCAGTTCAAACAAGTAAGACCCTAACTCGCATGACAAGCCCAAAGCCTGTTCTGGTCCGTCACAACATTTTATTTGGTCCACCAGAGCTCAACATGCTTTTGGTTGTCTTGAATTATTGTCTATAGCAACAGTATAGTTGGACTTCAGGAGAAGATTTCCAAAAAATAGTTGTGTAGTGTTGTTGATTTATTAACTGAGACACACCAGACAAAGGCAGCTTGTACAGACAAAGGCATTCTGATGTTTTTTTCCTGTAGATGACCATGGAAATTTAGCAAAGATACATTAATAGAAATTATTATTAATACTTGTTACCTTTCAAAAGTCAACCTCAAGTCAAAAGTAAAAAAACCTCACAAAGTCTTCACAGTCACAGAAGGATAACCTGTTTGAAAAGCAGTAAATAAGAGTTTCCAACTGTAAAACATGTCTTATCATGTATTTGTGTTTTCCTAACCAGAAGAACTGCTTTGTATTCACTTCATTCATTGGCAGCACACAAATTCTCTCCTGTTTCCCAGACAAAGAGCCTTTTAAATTGACCAACAATATGGAGAAATACCTTTTTGTTACTGTTGACCTAAACAGGAGCCAAGGAATATAAGAGACAGCACTAATTTGAATAATAATAATAATAATAATAATAATGTCTTCTTTTTTGTTTTGACTTCATTGTGATACTTGTAAGTCAATTTACTGCTGTACAAAGCTGCAACAACAATGACATATACTGAAATGAAACACAAAAATGTTTTATAATGTGTCATTTCAACATACCTTTCTTTACTAAATATTTGAATCTATATTCATTATTGAAATTATGTGTTCAGCCTCTAACTCTCTGACTCTCCTTCACAATAACAGATCCGTCTGACTGATAATTTAGGGAAGCTCTCCCGCATTCTGGAAACTGACCACTTTGCCCTTGTTGTGCATGAACAGATCCAGTGTAAGTACGGCAAAATTCTTACTTCATGTTAATGTATTTATATATACAATATTTATGCTTATCCATGACTGTTTTCCTATTTAAAACATTAGCACCACCAACTGGTGAAAATACTTAGTTTTTTGTGGGTTTAGCATTACCACATATCTCTACCACATGCCCAACTTGGCAACATTTAACTTACTACTAACAGCATCACCTCTGCTAATTACTTTAGCAAAAATGACAAGAAGTGATGCAATCATGTTACATTATGAGTCATTGAGATAAATCAGCATTTTCAAATATAATAAACTGCTTTTTCCTCTACATTGCTAGAACAGATAAAAAACAGCAATTATTACCGGTTTGTAACTAGCCCAAAGGATTTATTTATTAGTATGGAAAATGTCAAGAAAAATGTGCAAAAGTATTACTCAAAATTTAGCATGTTTCTACAGTTTGTGGATTGGTCATTATAGTGTATCTTTATTATGGCTTAGACCTAAAAGTTGCAACTTTCAAAACTACCACGAAGCCTCCTGTTTGCAATTATATTAGTCAATCTACGGTCCATTGCAATCCATTTGGTAATTGTGTCAGTCAGTTTGTCAGCCTTAAACTAATCTACTTCTCTGGGCTCAGTGAGTCTGACACATGCTGGATGTTAAAATTGCATTTAAAGGTTCGTAAATTATTTTCCACACTGTGTGTGAAAATAATAACAATGTGTATCGACGGAGTTTAAGACCTAGGGATGGCTTGAGCTGATACTCAGGATCACTATTGGTTTGATATTGATCAAATATTGATCACAAATTGATCAAGTATGGATATTGAAATAAAAACTATAATACTGATAATCCGATACCTAAGCACAAATTCTCAACTTAACTTTGCACGACATGCCGTAAACAGGGACACTATTGTCTGAGTAAAGGCAGCCGCAGCATGCTGGAGGAGAAAAGAAGGTAAAGGATTGATATCGGTATTGGCAGGTACTCCAAGTTGAATTATTGGACATGAATGTTTTGTATTGAACAGCAATGTATGGAGTTGTTCTGCCTATGCACTAAAAACTGGAATGTGATTAATCTTCACGAATTAATAATCGTGGTTAACGCCCCCAAGAACAAGATTTTTTTTTCTGTGTTGTGTGCAGGCTAAAATAAGGTAATTTCACAGAAAATCTGTCTCTTAGCAAATCACACCTCCACTCCTAAACAGTTTTGAAATTGGACTAACATTATTTCACCACTTCTTTTCTTTAATCCACCAGACTTGCAGGACGGCTCCGCCAGTCTGAGGGCGATGGTCTTTGGTGTGGTGACAGCCGTAGATCTGCTCAACTTTGTCACAGGGCGAGAAAGGAAGCAATCCATGTCAGAATCACAGGAAGACCAGTGAATGTCAGATCACATACATTTCTTTTAAACCACTAAAACAGCAATAATGTTGGGTTTAGCAAAAATTTTGCCAAATCAGCTTTCTGTTAACTTTAACGAGTTAGTTAGTTTGCTCATTGATATGTCAGGTTTAGTATAGCAGTCTAAAAGATGCCATTTGTATCTTTTATTATTTCTAGAACATGTATGTCATGGGTATGGTATAACTGAAGTCTTACTAAAAACAGTAGTCTTCAGTAGTATAAAGTCTAAAAACAGATAATATTACTTTTTACCTGGTGATTTCATTTACCATATTGCATTTAGTGCAGGAATTAATAATCTTTAAATTTGTAATTTTGTTTACTATTAAAGGTCTACTAAGGGTCTTACAATGCCTTTTTGTTTTTCTGTCTTGTGTGTGTCTTTACCTGATCTTATTTCAGTATCATCAGAAACAAAAAAGAAATTCATGAAAGATCTGTGATTTCCTCTTATTTGCCATAATTTGAAAGAGAATTTTCTTTATTTTTCCTTGAGCAAACTTTAAATGATGTGATGCTTGGAAAGAAATGATGGTGCACAGAAAAAAAGAAAGCTGTGCATGTAAAATAAAGAATTCAGTTTTGTAAAATGTAAACAAATAATCATGTACCCACCATCTAATGTAATTATGAAGTCATGATTAAATCTTGCTTTTTCATCATTGTATTGCTTTCATGAATGTGTATGATTATAAACAATATAAATAAAATCAATAACTTCTCTAAAATTGTAATTTTACTACTAGATTTACTTAATTTTATTGTGACAAGAATCCAGGAATTGAGTAAAGAGCCGGAAGAGTGGATGGGTCTCAGGAACCATGGCATGGCTAAAGCCCAATCTGTCAGCATAGTGGACTTGAAGATCAGGTTAGGGATGGCTCGATCCAATATTCAGGATCGGTATTGCTTCAAAACTGGTAAACATTTTAGGATTGAACAAATATAGCCTGTCCGATCCAATTTCTAAGCCCAAATGCTCAGTTTAACTTTGCACGACATGCTGTAACATGGACATTATCGCCTCAGCAATGAGTTGCTGAAGGAAAAAAGGTATCAGATTGGTATCAGTATTGGCATATGCTGTATTTCAAGTTGCTTCTAATATTTTCTCAGATCACTCTGCCATCTTCCTAGTACATTTCCATCTCATCTTCTTTTGGGTACTATCCTGAACATCTTCCCTCCACCACCAAATTCCCTTGTCGTCTTTCCATTGACTTGACTTCACCCTTATCACCTTCATACCAATTTCCGACAATTATTTCGTTAATTAATTCAATAATTAATTAATTAATTTTATAACATTTTCTGTTCATTATACATTTTAACTTGACACGTAAATATAAATATTGACAGTCAAGTTAAACGTGTCTTGTTTGTGTTTGCCATGTGGTTCGCAGCGCACGTCGTGACGTTCTATTGCCGTCGTGTGGGTGGGTCTTAATTGAGAGAATCGTTCTAATAACAGCAAATCTGTATACACCGCCCCGTTTAGTAACAAACCGGCGTACGCCAGTGTCGTGAAGGAGCAAGCCCCCACACGTTCTGAGCGGCCAATCAGCGCTGTCAAAGCAATGTATGTGCTGTGTGGTGGCTGCTGCTACGAGCAAGGCTAGACAAGCAGTATGGCGGAGGAAACCAGTGAATGCGATTTAATAGCTCTGGAGTCCCAGTTACAGAGTTTATTGGACCACTATTCTAGTGAGGAGCTGCGTGGGGACAGTAAAGCCTTCTGTACCGACTTTTGCAAGGTAAGGGGCCCTGTCTTTAGCGGGTGACAGGCTAGTTATCAAAGACAGTCTCGTATGTGAGTTTGTTAGCCGACACCCCCTCCCCCCGTAGCGTTAGCCTTAGCAGTTAGCCTCCCTATTATCCGGAAAGGTTTCGTTGTTTTAAAAAGCCAGAACTTTATTTCACTGCCTTTCTTACGATACAAGCTCAAACTTATGTTACGCTAAAAACGCCCTTCAGTCGGAAAATGACAAACATTTGCACTAAATGTGTTCTATGTGCAATTCAAGAGGCTAACTCTGCTAACAGCCACAGCCAGCTGACCATCTAATGCAACTAGCCCATCTATAAGTTAGCCTGTGTCACTGAGTAGATAACTTTTTTGTTCATCTTGCTAGTAAACTTTTTCAGCTTCCGAACCGACATCGATTTTAGGTTAGAAAATATATTTGATATTCAGTTCATGTTTTATTATGTCTAGTAAGAAATTAATCTGCATACATTTTTATAAACAGCCACACATTTGCGTGATATTAATGCACATTATAGTGTGACCATCACAGAATAGGCCAACATGGATTCCAGAATTATTAGTGTAAGTCTTACATCATAGGATCATCAAACAATGTCAAAGTGTCGCATTAAGGGACAATTTTAGACTTTTAGATTGCATAGATCATGCCTAATTCTTAGTTATACGCACTATCATTCGTGCAGTTAAAGGCTGTTAAAAATGACGATACCCTTAAGGTTTGCGTCGGTGTACGCTACAAAAAGTTCACAGCCTAATATATCACAGAACACTGCTGATGCATGGCATAACAAAAACAAATCTGGAAGCATGTCACTGTTTTATTTTGTTTGTTTGCGCTGATGGAGATTGAATATCACTTATTGGTGCTTTATTGATGTCTCTAGAGTTTTTAACATCAATGACTTCATTATGACTACCACAGCAGCAGTTGTCTATATATTTTCCCAAATTTCCATTGTCCGTGTAAAATATTTATGCTCACTTTATTCTTATATTTAGAATATATTTTAAAATTGAATGCCTCAGTATCACTATACATATATATTGCTTCCTCTAGGGTTACACCAACCATCTCCATTTCTCATGTACACAAACCTTTAGCCAAAACATATAATTATCTTTGCCATCTCTTCATACAGTTGGTGGAGGATTTCACTTCTCATTGGCAAGTGCCACTGCCTCAGCTCAGGATCCTCCAGAGAGCTCTCTGCTATTTTGCCCAAGCTTCCACCTCCTTTCCATCCAACTGTGATCATGTGCTGGACACACTTAGTAGTCTGGCTTTGTGAGTACACAATTTTCTCATCTGGTATTCTCATCCGGTTAATTTTATCATCATCAAACTAGTCAAGAGGGTACTAAAAAACCTATGTACCAACTACTGTTTGTTTTATCACACAGTTAACACTTTATTAGTACAACATACCGGCTATTAAAATAATCAAAATGTGTTACTGCTCATCTTCAACAACAGTCAATAATCACTATAGGACCTGATGTCGCTCTTGAGATTGTTGTTTGAGTGATACAGTTTTGGCTTGTTTATTAACATGTACCTTCGCTTTTCTGTCTTCAGTGGTTTACTGGTTCAATGTTTGGTTAGTAAAAATGTAGTTCTGTGAACATTTGCCCCCCAAAATTAATCATACATTTTATGATTAATAGTTGTCACTTCTTTTTAAGTATCACATGACCTCTATTAATAATAAAATACACAACTTGGAATTATTCACTTCTGTTTGGGGCAAGCTTATAAGGTTGGCAGGGCTGTTAAAAACATCTGCATGCCTATTGACATAACTATTAAGCTAAAAAATCCTTTGTTGCAGTGCCTGCTATTACACCTGTGTTACCATACAAGAAATGTAGATATTGGTTTGAATTTTTTTCGGGTTTTTTTCTTGTCACAGCAGGGACTTTTTAGTCACAGTATATGGAGCAGGAACTATTTCCGGGCAGTAAAGAATAGCCCTATTTCTGGTACTGTTAGAAGCTTCTGCTATCAGTCCAAATAAGTCAAAAAAGAGTATTAGCCTGTAGGATGATTGTTCCTTTATTTATTTGTTGGCTTGCTCTGGGATTGCTTTTGGGAATTTTCTGGACAGCCATGTTAACATCTACTGAAAGAAAGAAAGTTGAAAGCTGTCTTTTGTTTTTTTTTTTGTTTTTTTTAAACTGACCTTTTTTTGTCATCATGAACACTGAGTTTTCTTGTTCCTAGTTTTGTTACTGAGGGCTTTCTAAACACAGCCAAAAGGCAGGTAGTCATTTTGAACAGGGAACATTTCATTTTCAGTAAATGTACATTCAATACCAAAATAACTTCATCAAAATGAAAGTGAAAGATGCTGGTTTATTGATAATTGGATTCTGGAGTGCGGACCCATTAACAGTATGACTTGACATGTGCTGTGCTTTTGTCACAGAAGTGCTTTTGAGTTGCTGCTTTTCTTCGACCAGAAAGACTTCTGTGAGGAGTCATTGCAAAGTATCACTGCTACATTCCAGGTAAGAAAGAAGAATCAGTGATGGAGGAACCCAACACATTTACATGTTAACTAACATTTTCTATCTCGCCACTTTATTAGGAAAGTTGTCTGGGCCTTGCAAAGCATCAGAATGTTCACTTACTGCAGGTGGGGCATCTGCTCAAAAGCGGTGGGCCATGGGCCAACTCCATCTTACAAGCAATTCTCAGCGAGTCCAATTTACCTCAGAATGAAGGTACGTAACATTGTCAAAGGACAATTAAAAATCTGAATGGATGACTTGAAATCTCTTTGTTCATAAAATGTGTCCCAATAAACAAATGTACATGCTTACTGTTGTGTCAAACTGCTTTACCTTCCAAGTTTAGGTTATGGTTCAAATAGTAAACTTCCACATGCTATATCTATATCTATATCATCTATCAAATAGATACTTGCACTGTGACTGACAAATAATGTGTTAACGAAAATATTCCTCACTTTTCCTTTAGTGGATGAGTACATCAGCTCGGAGCTGGCAGTGTTCTTTGAGCTTCGTGTGCGCTACCTTTTGTCCTGTAAAAAAGAGGCTGAGGCAATGTCCTTGGCTAAATGTTGTGCCCACCATCCCATAGCAGGGCAGCATCCAATCTTCCTCCAGGTCTACCTCACGTGGCTTTACAAAAGTTCACAGCATGAACGACTGCACACAGAGGTATGTTTAGTGCGCAACATGAAGTTACGGTGATCCGTCTTTACATTTTCTGACTTGTTTGAATAAATGAAAACAAATGTAGACTCTGGGATGAATATAAACTATTGAAAATGAAAACAACATAACATAACGTCCCTTAGTAAAGTTTTTGTTTTGTTGAAAATCAATTCACGTTTTTCTCAAAGAGACTTGTAATTTACTGAGCACATTTACAAATGGATAAATAGGAACACATACTCACTATAGTACATGACATTACTTGTGGTACTTAAATGTCATTAATTAAAATGGCAATGTCTGCTTTTCAATGTGTTAATTACAGGCGTGTATTTGTAATATTTTCCCCTAAAATGTGAATTTGTTTATAAAATGTACAAATGTTAAAAAAATGTCCACACAAATCCACACATGGTGGTAAAATACCTACTTCCATCCTTTTTTCAGGTGGGTGATGTGAATGGAAAAGATGCAGTCCACATCCTCTGTAGTCTAGAGCTGGAGGAGGACAACAACTTACTGCTTGGTCTTGGCAGAGCTTTTCTTGCACAACAGCTCCGTAGGGGAGACATGTACTACTTGACGTAAGCATCCTTACACTACAACTGTTGTGAGGCTTACTTATGCAGAATACGGACTGAATATTTTATATATTTTTTTGGCAGTGATCTTGTCTCCATTTGGAGCAATCTTCACAGTCGGTTGAAAACATCCAAGCAAGCTCTACTTGAAGAGAGTCGACATCTGATGAGTTTTACCACCAACATCAACTCAATCTTTCCGTTCATCAGAGCCATTTTGCAAGAAGTGTGTTTTCTGCTTTTCTTTATTAAAACTATAAATATTAAAAAAATATACAATTTATTGACACTATGTCCTGTATTTCTCTAAATTATTAGCTGGGTGAAGATGGTAAACAGTTCTGCGTGGAGCTTTGTGCTAACGCCCTGGGGTCCCACCTTCCCTGTGATGTCATCACTAAGTCCCTCATCTACAAAACCATTGCTGGCCTGCTTCCAAATGACCTGGAGATTTGCCGGTTGTGTGCCCTTCTTGTTTTTTTCTTGGAACGCACTGTAGAAGCCTACAAGTTGGTGTACATTTTGTACATGCATCCAGATCAAGAGTACCAGGTGGAATGCAGTCCAATTGGAAATAATGTTCGCTGTGAAACATTGAGGGTAAGACCTAACTTTCTCAAAAATCACAATCTTGTTTTATTGATGTCCTGAACTTGGTGTACTGAATTTCAGAATTTTGCTTTTCTCCAGATCTTAAAGAAAGACCTCTACTTTGACCCAGAGTTTTGGAACCTCATTGCCTTGCGAACTAGCTGTCTGGAGTTGCTGAGTGAGAAGGTGGTGAGTGCTGCCCTTGAAGAAGTCATGGAGGACAAATGGATCTCAAACTACTGCACCAAAGAGTCTTCTTGTCAAAAAGCAAAGACAGGTCACTGTAAGGCAGCAACCAAGAAGAGACAGCTCAAAGAGGACAGCTGTCTTAAAGAAAACACTGACTCTGTATCCAAAAGACTAAGGATGGGCTCATACAGAAAAAGGGTAAATGTTGATAACACTGTAAAAAGGAATAGAACTCCAGGGTCACAGTCCTTAAAGGAAGTATCATCTGAACCTCTAAGACGTTCATTTTGGCAGCTAGAGAGAATTCAGGATAGTGTCAGCCTAAGGTATGGAGAACTCAGGCGTGTAACAAGACTTTTTGCAAAGAACCCACCAAAAAGAAGAATTAGAACACCTAGGTGGCTTTTGGAAGACTCGGGATCTGTCGTAGAGAAGAGGTCTCGTAAATTAACAAAGCAGTGGTTGAAACTTCAGAAAAATCATCAATCTTCTGTTGAACAGAGCCCTCAATCAGTTCAGGAAAAGAACACAGGAAACCATAAAGCGACAACAAGCTTTAAGGACATACAACACAATGACCAAAGTGGACTTTCTGTAGATGCGCTTGAACAACATCCTATGCCTCAAGTAATTCTTGAGCTCTCTTTACCAGACAATGAATTGTATGGAACATTTAATGAAGACTGTTGTAACAGGGAGAAAGGAATACCCCAAGTTCTTCTCTACAAACCTACAGTAAAGCTTCCCGCAACGTCATCACCTTTGAAAAATGCACACGGCAAAGAGGTTATTCTTAGAGCCCGGGATGAATCAATGTTGGTACAACAGTTGCACTGTTACGCTCGCAGACAGAAAGGAAAAGGTAACGGCTCAATTGTCCACAGCTCAGTTTCAACCATCACACGCTCTTCTGCGCAGGCAAGTCCTCCTAAAAATTCAAGACATAGGCATGAAAAGTCCAGGATGAAAAGAAGAACTTCTTTACGAAGGACAACAGTCGGAAGACAACTCTTTGAAAAATCTGTTGTGGAACCAGTGGGGTTCAAGAAGGTCCTCCACCGTTCTCGTAAAAGAAAGTTGCCTTCAGCAAAAGAGGTTCATGAAAAGTCTGCTGTTGAAGAGAAAGCCAGCCACAATCTCCCAGTCTTGGATACAATCCAGGATCAAAGTGTAGCTTCAGGACGAGACCTCTGTGAGGTGCCTGCTCTGGAGATGAAAGTCACTATTGCATCTGAAACTGCTGCATCCAAAATGGCACAATCCTCACATTTAGAAAAGGTCTGTAAAGTTCAGTGTGAAGAGGGCCTTTCAGAAGCTCCTACTACAGCAAAGCTGGGTAGTGATAAAATCTCTTTGAATTCCCAAGCAGCCTCCCAGTCTCAAGATGTTTTTAAAAATGAGGAACAAAAGCACAAGTCACTTTCTTCACAGGCTGATCCAGACAAAATCTCTACTGCAAACAGCTATGCTGCTTCTATGGGTAAAAAGGTCACTCAGAGTAAAATATCAGAAACTGATGATATTTATTTGTCATCAGACCGAAACAATATAAACAACATCTCTTCTCTGACATTAGTAACAGAAGTGGTAACTAAAATTGAACCTGAAGCACTTGGTCGAGATCTAGAAAATGAGAAAGTGCTAACACATGAGAAAGTTGTAGACGTGCAACTAAATCAAGTAAAAGGGCAAACATGTTCTGAGGATAGTGGTGAGGAAACTGAACCTGAAACTGAAGAATCTAAGTTGGAATACTGCTGTACCTTCTGTCACAAGGACTTTAAAGGACGTCATGTTGTCGCACATGCAATGTTCCATTACAGAAAAGACGAGTGTATGTTCTGTGGGGTGATATTCAGAGATGATCTTTTGGCCATGATGCATCTGTCTGATCATATAGAGAAGCTCAAGAAGATCAAAGCCCAGGAAAATTGTGTGTTAGAGAAAATAAACACCTGCCCATCTAACACCTCCTCCAAAGATGTCAACTCAGATAAGCCGTTGGCACGACGAAGTCGTGGAAGGCCGAGGAAATCTACTGTATATCCTCAACAGTCCTTTCAGGACTCAACCCCCTCTGAATCCAGATGCTTAAGATCAAATATAAATGTGGTTCCTGTTCAGAAACAGAACACGTCAAGGCAACATACTGTTCACAAGGCAAATGGTCATCTACGCAAAAAGGAAGTGCACAGGCATCTGAGTGAATTGAGAGAGACTGATGGAAAGAGAAATGACCGTAAACATCATCAGCCAAATTCCACTGCATCTTTGGAAGAGATCAACTCTCCTCAGAATCTGAAGGCAGCTTCAAAACAAAATGAAAAAGATGTTGAGGGGAAACGAGCCAAACCTCAGGAGACGCTTTACTGCCCGGTGAACGGTTGCACTTGGTCTACAGACCTGATGAAAAATCGTGTGGCACTCTTGTACCATGCTCTGGAGGATCACCATGGAGAGGCCAAACCTTTAGAGCTGGCGTTTCGTGTTGGTAACAGTAGGTGTGCTATTTGCATGAGGGTCTTGTGGAGCTTTGAACACTTTCTACACCATGTTGAAAGTCACAGAACAGTTCCACGGTACCCTTGCCTTCACAAGGGCTGCACAGCCAGATTCAAAACAGGAATGGAGATGAGACGCCACGCAAGAAGGCACAGCCCTCTGCAGGCAGTATGCTGCCACCCTGCTTGTTCCAAACTATTTATCTGTCTGTGGGCGCTGAACCTCCACGAAAGAGAGCACTACGCCTCAAAACACGCCAGAGTGAAAAAGAGCACACCTGAGCAAAAAGATGATAAACAAAGTAAAGCAACAAACGGGAAGAAACAAGAGGATCACAAGATGCGAGACACTGCTGCTCCTACGGCTGCTGACAATTTGAGTTTGAAGGTTAAGCGTAAACTAAGAAGTCGTGCCATCAACACCTCATCCCGAATAAAAGCTAAGGCTCTGTCCAGCATCAGAAAATGTGTGGTGAAACGAGAAATGGACAACAGAAAGGAATCCTATGATTCTGATTTTTTACGGCGTGCTTATTCTAATCAGAGACGGGCATTGAGAAACAAAAATCCAAGGAAAGTCATCTCCTCATCATTGCGGAAACATAAACGAAGATCCAAGATGAGGACAGATCTGGTTAAGGTTAGTTCAGCATTACATCGGGGAAGAAGGCGAACTCCAAAGGCAAAACATCAACAGGTGGTACAGGATGCCAACACTTCAACCTGTCAGAAACCTAGTACTAGTGAAGTCCCAGATATCTGCCAAAATGATCTTAAACTTTTGACCCAGGCAACAAAGACAGTCCAGCAAGACAACAATGCTATGGAGAGACCAGGTGATGAATTACCAAGTAAAAACACAGCAAACAAGCAGATTGAGGAGAATCAAAAGAAGGATTTGCTCAAAAATCTTGCAGCTCTTGTGGCATCCAAAAGTTTAAACCGACCAATCAAAATGTCCACGGCAGAGAAGACTTTGAGGTTAAACACCTTAAACCCTGAGAAAGTAAAGCGGAGCCCAAGTCCTCACGAAAACGCTGGTGAAGTGGAGATGAGCACAAGTCCTGATGCTATTTCACACACGAAGGCTACAGACAGCATATTCGACTCAGATAGAGTTGGGGAATTACCTGAGACTGCTTTGGAAAGGCCACCCGAGGATACACCTGCTCTCCCACAGGTTGAAGTGTTAGCAGTGGCCGAAGGACCTGCTAACATGAAAGTAGAAAGGGAAGAGAACACTTCACAAAATCTATCAAGCCAGTCTCTGTCTGTTGTTTCTGTAAATTGTTTCTACAAGATGCCGCCTTGTGTGTCAGACAAGAAATTAAAAAGGTTATCCAAAAATAAAAAATTCAAGAAATCAAAACCCAAGAAAAAAGAAAGATCACAAGAGAAGAACAGTAATCCTTTAGTCTCCAGCCGAGGGAAAAGGAAGCAAAATGCTATTGACAAGAAGAGGGTAAGGAAAAACCACTGCCAACGACCAGACAAAAGGGTTCAGTCAGAACGTGTAGAACAGAAACGAGAGGGAGTCACAGAAGAAGTATCATCATCAGTAGTGGTTCCAAACAACCTTAGTGAAAATGAAAAGGGAAAGCATGTGGTTGTTCACAAAGAGGCTGTCAGCTCTGATTGCTCCATAGCTGCCGATCCCAACATCTTAGCTGACGGTAAGGATTCTTCACCAGCTGATGAAGCAAAACCTAAGGAAGAAACAACAGATCCTGAATCAACAAAGTCTAAAGAGCTAAAGGTATCTAATCCAACCAAGACAAAGAAGAAACATATGAGAACTTCCTCAGAGGGTGTTAAGAAGAATGTAAGGAAGAAAAAACGTGACCACCACCAGTCAGATTCTGAGCAACATCCAAGATCGGAATCTAACGTCAAGGTGGAGACTGCGCAGAAAACTTTAGGTGGACAACACAGAGGCTCCAGGGAGAGGAAGTCCAAAGCTGAATCCCTGAAATCTTCCGTGTGCATCGAAGCTCTTGCTGTTTACAGCAAGATGCCACACCTGCGGCCTCCCCCCACCGTTTACCTGCATGAGAGTTTCATTTCCATGCCCAAGCGGAGAAAGGAGGGGCCCCTCCTTCAATCGCCTCCCAGTGAGTCTCTGCCCCCTCCTGGAGAGACCAGTGTCCCTACAGCGCAGCAGAGGCAGCGGTGCAAAAACTGTTTTGCTTCTTTTAACAGCACAGAGGATCTGCAGCATCACCTGCAGCTGCAGAAGTGCACCAACCTCTTTGGGTTTGACTCTGATGATGAGGGTGAGTTCAGTCTTTTTTTTTTTTAGATCTTTCTTTAGTTCCTACAACACACTTCAGATAATATCTATCACAGTGTTTGCAGCAGAAGTTGCAGTTTTTTAAATCTGTCCTTCCTTCATTGTAAATTAATTAATAAAAACACTGGCCTGAATGGAACCTGCCAAATGCCACCAAACTTTTAAAACATCTATCCATTATGTACTTCTTATTCCTTGCCCTCAACCAATAAACATTTGGTGCTGCATTGCCCCCGTGTGGTGAAAAAATGAATAACTGACGTCACCACAGCGTAAGAGTGGTCAGTTAGTGTTGATGTAGCACTTTGTAGTAAAATAGAACTGACTGTTGTATATTGTGTATATTGTATATTAGTGCTGACTCTGGAAACAGCTCTTTTCTCATTCAAGACAAAGTTGTTGAAAATTACTTTTTTTTTTTTTTTTTAGGCAACAGCTAAGAAGGTCTTGTTTTCTTGCGTTCCTGTGGATCTTTATGGAGCTCCTGGATGCACCATACCTCAAAGTCCTCTGAATTATGACCTAATAGATTCTTTTATGAGACAGCAGGATGTTGATAGGAAGAAAATGGCAGCAAGTGTCCAATTACAAAGCCAGTAAGTGGACATGGACAGAAAAGCCAATTTTATAAATACATTTAAAAAAAGAACTGAACTGAGTCATAGTTAGACTGAAGAACTGAATGAAGTGCCTGCTCTGAAACCGATGTGCTGTTTTCAGCAGCTTGGACCTGGTGTGTGGAGATTTAAGCATCGCAGCTGTGACAAGAACAGCAAAGAAAACAGAAGCTTAATGACAAGAAAGCTGCTAGTGCTGTCGCTAAGACACATTCTCCACACCAGTAAGCCATAAATCACATTTTGCTTTTTGCACTCTCCATATTAATTAAAATGATATGCTTAACATCATTTTCTCTGATTATTCTTTAAAGTTAAATGAAAAATGAAAAAATGAAAATGAAAAATTATTGATTAAAGAGCTAAAATTATAACTTGTGATTCACTGTTTGAACCTTGTTTTGAATGTTTTATGTATAAATTCTGAAATGCTAACGTTATTTCTTCCATCATTAGCGACCACTAGGGGTCAATGTGCACCAATCTGTAGCCTCAGCGCATTTAGCTTTTTTTGGTCTTTATTTGCTACAGACGTGTACAGGCAGCTTTCCTGCTGCAGTTATTGCTGTAAAAGATTCAGAAATGCTTCAATTGACATTTGTTAAATAGTTACAGTTTTATTTAGCAATAACATCTGCAATGTTCCCACTCAGACCTTTGCATCTTTCAAAATTCCTGTCTTGTTTTTAAGCATCACTGGAGGAGCCTATCTTTTATCTAATGTGATTAATTCTCACTTAAAAAAATTTTTTTTTTAACTTCAGTGTTATCATTATCTTTCATAGACCATGAGACATTGTGAATTCTCTTTGAAGGTAAATGTTCAGAGAAGAAGGGGGAAGTGACAGTGAAACTATGAGCATCAGCAGCAGGTTATATTTATTTATGTTTTATTTTCTATCTTTTGTAAATACTTGAAGAGTTTCACTGAGTTATTCTATGAATTGATGGGAGGGAGGGTCTGTTGTTGTTGCCTCTGGGTTTATATTTTGTTCCTGAAGATGAAAATAAAACCTATTTCCAAACTTATTTCTCTTTTGCCTTGTCTTGACAGACAACTGCTGAATGCAGTATTGCATTAAATGATTTTAGTTACTGAAATGTTAGTTACTGGATGAGGCATGTGTCCTCTGAAACAGTCAGATTTAACACTTAATAAGACTTTCTGACACTGTTTATTAAAAAGGGTCGTAGACTAGTGTTGGTCCAAGTCATACATTTTGTATTTTAATTCTGATTTTGTCTTTATACTAAAGCTGAAAGGATCTGTAGTAACAAAGTAGTAGTATCCCAAGTAATAGTGTTCAGTCTACTGAGGTTATATATACTGTATATATATATATATAATATGTTTAGGTCAAGGTTTGTACATTTTGTTTTGTATTGTAGAATCCAGACAATATTTTTCTTCATATTACTCACCTGTACAGGGACACTTTCGATATGACCTTTACATTTCTGGGAATACAGTTAAATCTTGGCACAATCTGCCTTTCACTCCCATGTTTGGCACATTTTTCAAATTTCCATTACTCAGTGCAGTGTCATCCTGGTCTTTTGTAATATTTACCAGTTTAACTATTAACATAACATTAAGTTATTTTTGCTCTCTAGAAAGTTTCTTAAATCTTTAGCAACTGTTGGCTCACTGTTCTCACTTTTATTTACATTTGAATTGTGAAAAAAAAGTCACACTAAATGTCAATAAAATACGGAGCCCCTAAAGAAAAAGAAAGGAAAAAAAAAAAAGAAACGTATGTCCAGAAAGTATATCTAAGACATTTTGTCACACATACATACAGGGTAATACTTTTTTTTTTTTTAAACAATCATGCACTTTACGTACGGTTGGAAAATCTAAGATACTGGCATGTCATGTGTGACATGTACTGTATATATGGTGAGCATTTAATTAATGTAGGGTACCTAATTTTTTTCCCCATGTCCCTTTAGGGGCTCCGTACTTTAGGGGCTCCGTAATAAAATAAAAGAAGGAACAAAATATATTATGACAAAACTTTGATCTACAGAATGACTTTAAATATTTAATCGAAGCAACAAAATCACCACTGTGGCATAGACAGTACACACAGGTCAACACTGCTGTTCTACATCTTCATATTATTGTTTTCTGTGTATTGACCTCAGTCAGAAGGTCAACAAATTATCTGGTAAAACGAAATCTTACAGTACAGAACAAGATTAATCATTTAAAACAATGTAATGTTATGGTACAAACACAGTAATATAACTTTGATTTCCAAAGAAATGTTGGCTGATTGTAACTTAAATACAGTATTTTTTCACCGCTACACATTTTTATAATAAAAATAATCAATGACTTAAATATGAAGTGATTTAAATATGTACAAAAATATATTATACAATGTTCATGAAAATTTAAATAAGTTGAAGAAAAAAAAGTAAACGCTCTAGTGTGTAACTTTGAAATACTAGTGAAAGTACATAACTAATTTGCTTCACAGAAAAAAATCCAGGGACAGAAAGAAAGATGTAGAAGAAGACCCAAGCTAGTGCTAGTAAAGAGGTTTCCCCTTAAACAGAATAGAGATCATTGACAAAATAAAAATTAACTTATAAAGATTAGTAATTCATGCCTTCTAATGCCTTTAACTAGTGTGAAATACAGTCGTACAGTGTAGGGCTTACGTACGTATTGGTTTAGAGAGGACAGAAAATCACTAACTACTCTGAGCCTTATCTTACAGTACCAGTTTCCATGGTGGAGGAAGCACACAAATACTGTAACATTGTTGTTTAGTTAATCTCCAGATGTTGACTAATAGGTCTAACTTGAAGTTAGCTTTTAAAGTTTAGTTTTAGGCCTATGATAAGTGAAAATGTAAGCAGTAGCATAGTAAAACTCTAAACTCTGTTGTTGTATGTTAGCTTATCCGTGTAAACACTCAATATGTTGGCATTCTCAGGATTTATTTAATTTTATTTCCTTGTCACTGGATTTGCTTGTTACCAAAGGACGTTTGTTAGTAATTTTAGAAAACTCAAGTTTGTCTAGCTTGCTACTGTGAATGCTAGCTTTGCTAGCATGGTGTTAGCATTTCAACTCAGGAAAGCGTTTTAAGATGTCACTTATGGCACAGGAAAACAGAAAGAACAATCCAAAGAACACTGTTCATAGGGTTAGGTAAAATGTTGTTTAATTTAAAATTCTAAACTTATTTTGAGAGAAAGTTAGAATACATTTTAAAAGTAAAGAAAAGAAAGATCTGATATCGAGTCTTAACATTCAAACCTGCTACTATTCATTAAAATACTTTCTTTTCTCCTTCTGAGTACAAATATTGGTTCGGAAGTAAAGTGAACTCCTTTTCATTGTGACACAGCACACAACCAAATGTGACCTCTGCTTTTAACCCATCACCAAAGTGAACACCTCAGTGGTAACTTGACAGCTCCGGACCCAAGTTTGCTTCCTTAGCCACTAAGTCACCACTGCCCCTCTGTAGTGCACCACCACCACAAGGTAAACTACAAACATTAGTGTTCTGTGCCCCATGTCTGGGTTCAATCCAATCCAAGTGGAAAACATGACAATACAAGATAAAACTGATGCAGAACACTTGGGGAAAAAGTCTCACACTGTAGCTTCACTATACACCGTGTTTTGATTGAGACAGGTTTAAATTATCAATAGACTACTCCAATCATATATCCACCTTTAAAAAACAAACATCTGAAGTTAATGCAAACAAAACTGATTGATTGAAGAACCATACAATATATATATATATATATATNCCGGGCCATTTCTACTTTTTTTTTTGCACAAATTGTGTCGTCCCACATTCCAAACAACGTCATGACTCATTGTTGCTGAAATGACTGTAGTTATTCCTTCAGATTTTCTAGTTTCTCACACTTTGCAGCAGTTTGACATTCCTTGATTTGGCTACAACTTGCTGTGGGAACACAGACTCCTCAATAGTCCATCATGTTCTGGCTATGTAGAGATATACAGCAGTTTCGCGTCCAAAAAGTTAGTCTGCTGTAATGCAAAAACTAGGAATGTGGAGTTCATTCTTTCAGTCCTTCCTCGTTTGCAGGATAGAAAGTACCCGTTTTTGGGTCAGGGCCCAGCAAACCACAGCAGAATCTTCAGTCTGTTTAATTCCACTCGGGCCTCATGTAGTTGGGGATGCACTGGCACACCTGGTGGCTGTAGTAAAACCCCGTCGGACACGTTCTCCTTGGCTTCCTGCAGGGCAACCTGTAACAGCTAGATCAGAGAAGGAATAGAAAAAGAAAAAAAAGAGGAAAATTAAGGTCAAGGGGCGAAGAACAAGGAAGAACAGAGCAGAAATAAAAAGACGACACAGGGGAGATGATGTATTCAGAACTCCATATCCCTTCTGGATGAAACCCAGACCAAGTTTTGTTTGTGCTCACATCAAACGATTTGGTGTGTGTGTATGAGAGCTGGAATAAGGCCTCATTCTGGGAACGCAGTTCTCCAATATCCCAGCAGGTGAATAGCCTCCTGTTCACCTCCTTCTGTGACCAGATGTGGAGTCTGACCCAAACTAGACTAAACAATGAACTGAATAAGGGAAGAGTATAACAATGTCCCACACTGTTGCTCCAAGATGCAGACACATGCTAAGCTAAGCTCACAAAAGGCTCAACATTAGCTAATTAAGGCTTAAATACAGCTCTGTCCTTCAGACATGAACCATTTGCTCCCCAAAAATACCTACAAATAAGCAAAACTAAAACAATTTAAACAACAGTTTAGCTAATGGGCTAATAAAATAATATTCCAGACTAATGTGTTGCTTGGCAAACCTTTGCTAAATATGTTTGAAGTAGCTAGAGAACGCCAAGGGATTAAAAAAAAGTATGAAAAATTGAAAATTGGTGAAATTTGAAAACATCATTAAGTCAGTTTAAACGCTAACTTTTGTGTTTTTATAGTGTGATGGAACATTGGTTACATTGGATTGGTATATTTATGTTTTTATTTACTTATTACACAGCTGGCTAAACTGACTAATATCTGTATAAAATTATAAACTATAATATCTGTATCTTCTCTAGATAGCTGTCAACTTTTAAGAAAAAAGCTAAATTTTCAACTAGTCCTACTGTATGAAAACAGCTGACCATAATGGATTCTGCTTCTTGTTCAATGTTGTCTGTTGTCTGAGATGTCTGTGTTGACCTACCTGCAGGTGTTGGCGTTGAACCTCTTGCCCTGCCTTAGACAGGACTGTGGACTCTCTCTGCACTGACACTGACATGTATCAGGATTCAGTGGCTGATTTCCAGGACAGTTGGCAGCACAGACGCAGCCACATAACTCATTGTCCCAGCGTTGACCGGTTGGACACCACTTCCCTTCACTCTGGCCCTCACACTGACATTCACCTGAGAAAAAATAACAAGGTCAAGGACTATATTTGTAAACTTTCTAAGTAAATCTATCTATCTATCTATCTATCTATCTATCTATCTATCTATCTATCTATCTATCTATCTATCTATCTATCTATCTATCTATCTATCTATCCATCCATCCATCCATCCATCCATCCATTCATCTATCCATGATAAATGTAATAATGTTATGTAAAATTATGGTCAGGTGTGTAATTAATTGATGTCACCAACAGGTGCTGAAACTATTTTCAGAGGCAGTTTGACATTGGAGGAGTATGTGAGTATGTGAGTAATAGCCTGCTTACAGGTATTGTGGTCCAGTTTCCATCCAGGATCACAGCTGTCCTTAGTGAGTCCATTCCGACACACACATTCACACGTGGACTCCTGAAGAACCCTGTTTGGCCCACAGAGGGCCAGGAGACCCGAATCTACAACATATGGAAAACCAAAACAAAACAAGTCATTTTTCTGTTGTTTTTTTTTTAATGCAAAAACCAAAGAAACCGTTTGTATACATAAACAGATATCAATGTAAACCACTGTTTTTCAAACCTGAAAGCTGGCGCATCTTGATTGACAGCTGCAAATGACGTGATGGGTGATGTCTATGGGATTGTTAGAATCTCAAAATGGGAGCAAACCGAAAGTGTTGGGAGCCACCCATGCTAGCTGTGGTTTACATTGATATTTGTTTTAAAAGTACACATAAATACATCATTTTAGTTTCATGCTATGCACAGTTCTGTATGGTGTTTGTTTTATTTTAGGCAGACAGCCAAATTTCTGGACAAAGAGTTTCACTTGAAAAAAACTTCACTGAAATTTTATATCAAAATGATTTATTAATCAAAACTATTAATCAAACAGACCTGTAAAAACACCTCCTAACTTTCTAAGTGAGGTAATCGGCAGTTTCTACACTGATTCTCGGACATTTTCTTCCAAATTTGGGAAGAAACTCCCTAAAAACCTCTGTGCCATGAAAATCTAAAAATAAAGTGTTACGATAATGGAATGACAGCAGTTTGAAACTTTGCCATAGCTTTGTTGGATTTCAACATAAGATAAGCCAAGATGATGTTTAATGACTGTTGTTCTGAATCAAAGTAAGACTACTTAAAGTGTTTAAACGTATTGTTCTCAGAGGCTGTGAAATCACAGAAAACCGCTTGTCTTTTAACCCGTGCTTCAATGTTTACCACCACCAGACCTAAAGATCTATGTGAATCTTCAAACAGCAGCTTTCACTGAGACATGCCAGATTTTCTACGAGCCTGTAATTATTCACTGCTGATTTTCTCTTTCTTTCAAAATGATTTAATGTTGGCGGTTTTCATAGCTTTAGGGGGAAAAGTAGGTAAGTACTGATTAGAGTATCTGAATATATGTTTGATGACATGTAACAAAAGCAGAACATGTTCTACTCAGTTTTGACTTATCGCATATAAAAATCATAAAAATTGTAATTCATTAAAACTTTGGGACAATGAAAACAATTTTACCCAGTTTGTTTTTGCCTCTTGATCAAATACTTAACCATTTCAAGTCCAAATTCTTAGTCAAGGCTTAGCATTTAAAATCTAAATCTAGTTTCGTGGGTTATGAGTCGTTGCTCGTCAAACCTAGCTGTCCTGTATATAATAATAATAATAATAATAATATAATATAATTTATATTTTTAATAAATAAATGATATATAAAATATTTGCCCAGAGCCAAAACAGAAAACTAAGAAAATGATTGGTCTCTCAGTGCATTTTGTGGGTGTTGAATTGGCCTGTCAAGCCAACGTCAATGTTTGTGTGATTGCTGGCGGTTGGGGAGACAATGAAACCTTAATTTATCCCAAGGCAACAAAATTTACCTTATTTATTGATTTCAGTTGATAATTTTGAATATATTGTTATATGTTAAACATCACCAACTATGTATATGTGTGCTACACATAAGGATAATTTGGCAAAAAATGGAAAACACAGTTGCATCAGGTCAAAAAGTTTCTAGACGAATGATTACAACATCACCTGTCTCTCTCTCAGAGTAGTTTATAGCCATCATGGGGACGCACATACAGTTCACCGAATCCCACAATGACCCTGAGGTGCAGGGCACTTCTGGTGGAGAGCACCTACATAAACAAACACATTATAAACACAAACAAACACTGATGCACCAAGGTTGGTCCAGCCACACAAGTGTCACTCACAGCCGACTGGTTGCAGCTCGTCTGATGATGGAATGGAGCGGTCGCTTGGACATACATTCGCAGGAAGTGTGGTTGACAAAGGTTACCATGACCACTGTGCGGTCCATTTTGGGAGGAGATAGTTCCATCAGCTGACAGAGAGACACAGGAAGACATTAGAGAAAATATTAAAATATGATATTAACCATGGGGATGTTGAAATGAACTGTTTATTGATTTGTAAATATGAATCAGATTCCAAATTTTAACATGTTTCAACGCATAGAATGACTCACACTGTATATCCAATAATTCAGTTGTCCATCCACTTATAGTTGCTCTAATATACAGTTTTTAATAGGGGTGTAAGAAAACCAATATGCCGATATATTGCAATATTTTGTTCATGATACTGTATCAATATTCTACAGCACACTGTATTAATATTTAGGTGTTTTTTCTTTATAATTATAAGCGACATTGTTACTAAATATTATTTAATGTGGTTACAATGCCTCACCACAAGAAGTTGCACTAGCTTTCAGACTTATTTTCGTGATTATGCCCTCACTCTGAACCAAGAACCTGATGAGAGAATTACCATTAGTGAGTCAGCTGAACTGCGTCATTTTGTGGCACGGTCTAGTTAGTTTTTTACTTGTTAAGAACGGGTGTTCTATATTTTGTTGGATGACACGAGCCGTTTCACCGTGTAAGCCCTCTGAGACCAAACTCTGGTAAGCATGGCGGCTACATGCTAAGCGGCTAGGTCTCATTATTATTGTTTGTCGCAGCTCATTTCTTAAAGCTCTTACAGGAATGTTCCCTTTGAGCCCACAGTGGTACTTTCGGTGTCATTGTGAACAGTGTAAACTAACAGAGGTAAGATCGCTAATTAGCAAGAAGCTAACGCCAATCGCGAGTGGCGCCGCCGCTACTGTCTTTAAAGGACAGAAGTAGAGACAGCATATGATGCATACTTATGTTGATAGTAAAAATATATGAATGTCGAACTGGACTCTTACTTGCCTTACCTAGAAGAAGCAACACTATTTAATTTCTTAATTCTATTTTTGATGAAAAAGCTTTATTTTGTATCTGTTTAATTTGTATCTGCTGTATAAAATTCTTAGTATGACAGTACTCAACAATCAATGAGGAACTTCCCTTAATCTATCTATCTATCTATCTATCTATCTATCTATCTATCTATCTATCTATCTATCTATATGTTGTCTTACTGAAGAATGTAGGGGTCCAACACTAACAGTTGTTATGCAAATATTCATGGCGTTGGATCATTTTAGTTTGCTGTCATTTCTTCTTTGGCAATTTCGAATGTTGATGTCCCTGTTTCAATTGTATTAATGTCATGTTTAGCATGTAAAAGCATTTTGTTTATTATGCTGATAATTTTCCTACATTTCAATTGCTAAAAAAGCTCAACATATAGTCGTGTCTATAGTATCACAATATATCACAATATGTATTGTAAAGTTGCCCCTGTGTTGTGATATGTATCTTATTGCTAGATTCTTGCCAATACATACCCCTAGTCTATATACACTTTATTTGCTCACATTGCAGGAGCTTAAAACACATCTCAATGCCCAGTATTCTAGGTTTCAACAGGTCAGATGCCCAGCTTGCATCAGACCTGCCTCGTTGTGCAGAGGTTAAAGCCCAGTAAGTAAGTCTAAGGCTGACAAATTTCACAAGGGGACGAAGCTAATACCCAAATGAAGCACTCCAGTGACAGGAATTCGGAACAGTCCAAATGCACAGCTGGTGCAGGTATAGAAATAAGATAAACTAAATGGGGTTGGGAAACTAAACAAAAAAAAAACAAAACAATAAAGCCAGGCAGCCAGAACAGACATAGGAGAAGGACAGACAGGGCTACCCCAAGCAAATGTCAAAGATGGGAGTGAAACAAGGCAAAGAGACAAAGAGAAAACTGAGTGAAAGACATATATATACTCAGGGCACCAGGTGTGACATGTGACAACAATACAACGAGACGCTGCTGTGATATTACGATATTGATTAAACAGGGAGACACAGACAGACATGACAAGCTGGCTGACACTTTGACAACTGTCAAATGGATGTAAGAGACTGAGGACATAAATTGTACAAAGTTAAATTCCAAGTTATACTTAACTATACTACACTAAAACTATGGATGACTCAATCTTCGGTCCGATACTGATTAGGATTGAACATTGAAAAAAACAACTACAGCATGACATGTTGTAAACAGGTATAAAGAATGTGTGTTATGAACTGCCACCAAAACGTTTACTGTTTAGTCACTATGTGGAGCAATGCATATACAGTGGAACCTGCAGACACAAGCACCTCGACATACGAGTATTTCGAAATACGAGGAAGCCACTGAGCAAATTTTTGCTTCGAGATACGAGTACATTTACAGACGCTGATGCTAGGTGGCCGAGCACTCGGAGCAGCCCACACGGTTGCGTTTGAGGATAATGCAAGTGTGGTCATGAGCTATAGCTGAGGGTTAGGAAACTCTGACATGCCTAACATGGTAGGAACATTTGAGAGTTAGACAAAGTAAAGAGAAAGTACTGCACTTACTGTTTTGTTTACAAGCGAGTGGCTAGTGTTTGTGCAATAAAAGGCCTCATTGGTGCAGCATCCACCACAGCGGTGCAGTGCAACACATCGAGGGAGGTAGAACTGACTGGTGGAATCTGGGTATTCTTTAGCCACCTCGATGCACACTTCTCTGGGCTGGCAGGAGGTCTTCTGGATCTCCTCGAGGATGACTGGAAACATACCAGATTGTGAAACAGACTTTGTTCTGAAGAAAAACAGCTATCTTTGATGACTATTCCCATAATTAGTTCCAGCTGAGCTGCTTTACTCAATGTAGTCCCTTTTTGTTTGTTTTGCATTGTTTTGTCTCCCCTGCAACTAGTAGACCATGAGAACATTGTGCGTTATGGTTTACCTCCTAAAGTCCCATCCACTTTATAGAGAGCCTCTTGTCTCGGTCGACCCCACAGGTCATCATCACCAGTGTGGGCCAAAGGGCTCGCTGAGGTGCTGGAAACATAAGAGGAGGTCGGGGAAGAGGACTGCCATGACTTCTTCCTCAGGCAGTGCTGAAGTAAACTGTATTCAGGATACAAAAGCTGTAGGAGCTGATCCACACTTTTTACCGTCTCAAAACTGGGCTGCTCATCTGACATCACTGGAGACTAGGAAGCAGCAAAGACAAGACAAAATCATGTAGCACTATTAATTACAATGATCTTGTTTTTTCACCCTGTATTTGATGAATCTCTAGTAATACTGAAGGAGTTTTGTGGCTACAAAACTCCTTCAGTATTAGGCTACATAGCCTGCTATGTAGCCAACTACATAGCAGGCTTAATAAATGAGTTATTATATGATAACAATAGTTAAAAAAATCAACAGTTAAAAAAAGATTATATACATTATGAAACCATATAGTGGCGCTTTGGCCCAGAGGCAATGTCTCTGTCATTGGTGCGGAACCCCAGGGTTCACCTCCTGGGCAAGTTCGAATCCCGGTTAGGGCGGTTGGTACCTTCCAGTGGACTCACCACCCACAGGAAGGTTTCGGGGGTTGGTACGGTGCAATGTGATTTGGGTGGTGACTGCTGCCCCCGCGACCCAGTAACGGATAAGCGGATGAAAATGGATGGATGGATGGATGGATGAAACCATATACTGTATAAAAGAAAAGGGATAGAGCTTTGTTTCCAGGAAGTGATAGAGCAAATACATCAGCTGTCATGCTGTCGGATGCATGTTCCAGCTATAAAGACATGAGTCTAGATCAGTAGTTCTTAATCAAAGGACCCAGACCTGCCGCCTAGAGGGCTGCAAAAAATTTCAGTTTCAGCTCCTGTGGGCTGACACCAGATATATGTTATCCACGAGAAGCTTAGTTAAAATACAGCTTCTGACTATGTTGCTGTGGTAATGGATCAGTCACTTTTAACAAGCTCCAATACACAGAGAAGAAGACTGTCCTCTTCTCTATGCTAGTGGTAGACGATGTGCTTGAAAAAAGGCAATTTTAGTGCCTATTCCTCAAAGCTCTTTGCAAATATTCCCTTCAATGCCGCAAAGATTGCATCCTGACCAATAGTGAGTGGTCACGAAGTTTGTTTGGGAAAAGGTATTCCAGGTGGGGGCCAGACTTCCTGTTGCTAAGGGCTTTTGTGCAAGGAAGACTGGGGCTGGATGGAATGTGTTTGAAGACACTGGAGGTGTTTGTGAGGAGCAGACCTGAATTGGTGTATGTAAATGTATGTATGTGGATGTAACTGTCTATTTGTGTTGGGGTTGGGGATTCTAAAGGTGTTGGTGGAAGTAGACCAGAAGGCACCAGAGAGATTGAAACCATTGAAATCTAACAGTGTCATAAGAAATTATTGTGTTCTTTTGAAAAATTTATTTCAGGAAAAGTATGTTATTTTTAAACCCACTCAACACCCTGTTAAGTTTTCTTTCATTTAAAGGAAAAATTATTATATTCCACAGAATTCCCAGCGTCAGTTTTGTTGCTTTGAGCTGCATAAACAGTTCATGCCTCAGCTGCCAATGTGTTGTAACATGTTGGCTACTGTTGGTTTATTATGGGTTTGTGTGTCATCGCGCCTACACATACACTTATTGTTGCAAACTACATGGGGGCTTCACAATGTTGAAGAATCACTCACAGAATGGCACAATTCTCATGATGGTTCCCATCATCCTGGTTCCTGTGAACCCTTTGTGAAAAAAGTGATACACATTTTCATGAATGCTTATGATGGCTTCTCAGAATTGGGAGAGACTATCGTAGGGCACTGTACTTAAGAAGTAACCTTGACTTTGAGAAGCATAACATGTTTTCTTTTGCCACACACTTCCAAAAAGCTTCAAGCTCCACTTAAAGCAAAAGTGATGAAATAAAAACTTTCTGATCACATCTGATGCACTCTGGTGCAGCGTAACACCGGGGCAACAAGAGGACTTTTTTTCCGTGTCTATGGAAGAATTTCTAATTAGTTGTGGTTATCAGTCCTGCTGTGTGACGACCTTTCTAATGATTCTCCAGCCTTTTTGATGGATGACTCCTGTTCCTCTACACACACATAAAAGCAGAAGACAATGTCAAGGGTGTAGTGGACTAGCTCAGTGGTTCTCAAACCGTGGTATGTGTATCACCAGTGGTACACAAGCGCTCTCTTGTGGTACGCATGGAAAATTCATATTTTCACATTTACATTTTCAATTGAATCAATCTGAAACATACCATGCACAATTAATACAACATTTAAACATAAACATCTGTCTAAACCTCTCTCCTGTGGTGGAAGCTAACAGTGAAGGCCTCTGCTGCTGTATTCTAATGTTGGTCATCATGGTGCTACTCACAGAGATCAGGGTTTTCTCAGGTGGTACAGAGTAGAAACAGTTGGAGAACCACTGGACTAGCTAATAGTCTCTAGGGGCCACTGAGTATGAACTAGGTTTTTCTTACTATGTGTTTTTTTAAATACTTTTTGGTCTGTGGAGGAAAAAGCTGTGAGGCAGTGCTGTGATGACCTGAACAGAAACCAGGCCTTGGTGTTATCAACCTTGACATTAATCTTCTCATTCTCTCCTCCTCCCCTGTCCATCCACCAGCCATCTTGTTTACCTTTACATCTCGTTTTGGCCTCCCTTTCATTTCTAGTCCTACAGTTTATATTCTGTTTACTTTATTTTAATGGTTATCTTTAGAAAACCCAAGTGACCGGTCTGCTGATACTAGGTCGAGAAACTAGGCCTATTAACTTGCACGCTCGCCCTTTATTTCCCATTAGTTGTGAATGGAACCAATAGTGCATGTTGACCTGCATGTCTTTTGATTGGTAACGACAGGGACACTATTGCCTCAGCAACAACAGCCTGTTGCATGCTGGAGGAGAAAAGAAGGTATTGGATTGATATGGGTATCGTTAGATACTCAAAGTTGCAGTGTTGCTACCAGACATGAAAAAGTTGTATCGAACCATCCCTAGTTGTAACTGATGCTATGGATCACAGATGATGCTCAATTTCAATGGCATTACTGTTCCTGATGCAGTGGAGTAATGCAGTGCTCCACTGATTCTAGCCTGTAATCTGCTTGTCTTCTTCAGCACTTTTGTTGTTTTCAACATTCAGGTGTATATTGATGTAAGGATTGCTTGATTAAATTTTCATTTACTTGACATTAAGTACTTCCAGGTACAATATAGAACCATTCATTTGAACACCATTTGTATGAACACCTGCATATATAGGTATGTTAAATGTATACAGTGTTGCTCATCAAAAACTTTCCACAGTTTTTAAACTGCGTTGATGTTTGTTTTGTAGCATCGGTGTAGGTCAGGGGAAAAAAAGTTTATTTTCACATGAACTTAATTCTGTTCTGTAATAGAATATTTGACCCAATTTGGTGCTCATTGAGTGAATAATTGCCTTGTTTGTCCTGAAGAATATCTCTACAGCTGCTTCTGCACATTTGTATGGAAAAGATACATTGCAAAGATGTACCACTTCTGGTATTGGGTTATTGGTGTGAAGCCAACATTAAAATCTGATAGTACTTCTAATAGTTCTCAGTTTAAAATATGTGACGAGAACTGTAATTATTTCTTTCACCTGAATGTTAATTCAGAGTTGCTAATTAATGCAACGCGATATAAAATGCTTGAGGCATGACATAGCAACAAATTTGATCTGTTAATAAAACAAAATGAGTAGAAATAACAAAGGATGTTAATAGAATGTTTTATTAAGAAACAAAAATCTGATTTTAAAAAGAGTTTACTTTTTTTCAAAAACCTAAAGGTTCTTTAAAATGTCAATTTGTTGTCTGAAATGTATATTTTAAGAACAAAAATTGAATATTTGAACTTGGTATTTACATGGTAGTACTTTATTACAAGTTACTATTTGACCACTTTAGGCCTTTGCACCAATGTGAACCCAGACAGTCCCCATGTGAACCAGAAGCCTTGGCTTTGGTTCACACCATGTTTGCATCAACCGATGGAGAAGGCAAAGCTCTCACCTGGGTTCCCATGTCTCCAGGGGAGTAATAGTCTGCGTAGTCCTGTCCTGAACACAAGGTGGCAATATTAAGTATCCATAGGAGCAATGCTGATCTCCACATAGTGAGGAGACGGAGAAGTGAGGTGAGGGGTTATAAGGGGCAGTTGAGGAAGGTGGTCTTAAGGATAGGGGGTTATAAGTGAGGGGAGTGAAAGGTGAAGAGAGTGAGGATGAGGAGGAGAAGGAAGATCTCACAGACTGCTCAGGTTTAACTTCTCTCCTGTCTTCGTTCTATCCTGGGACGAAATAGCTCTTACTCCGCAGGTTGTTTGACTTTGGGAATTCTGGTGAATAAATCATGATTTCAGAAATTGTCTTGTCCCGGGGTTTCAAACAACAGCCCCCTTTTGAGTGGAAGTTCCTCCTTCCTCAAAGGACGTGTCTCCTCTTCTGTTGCCCCTTCATCCTGGCCATAAGTGGGATGTTCTAAAAATTGTAGAATCGATCTTTGTTTTCGTTAGTTTTCTTCTTTGTTCCGCTTAAAGTTGGTCTTTTTCCTTCAGTGTTAGCCTTTTTGTTTGTCTTTCCTGGTCTCATTTATCTGTCCTATCCCCTCCAGCCTTGGTTGTGCTCCTCAGCCTTCACACTAGTACACCTCCTTTCTTTCCTTTATCTATATTCTCCCTTCACACAGCAGCTGTGTTCTTCCCTCCCTCTCTCTTTCCCCTTTCCCTCTTTATCCCCCTATCTCTCTCTCTCCTCTCTCTCCCGCACTCACTCCCTCTCTCCGTCTGTCTGTATGGCTCTCTTTCCTTTTTTTTATCTGTCTCCTGTTTATTCCTCAGAAGACCTTCAGGGCAGACGACATGTCTGTCTGTCTATCTGTCTGTCTGTCTGTCTGTCTCTCTCTCTCTCTCTCGCTGTCTCTGCGTCTCTCTTTTTTACATAATGTCTTTGGTTTTAATTGAAAGGAAGCAGGTTTATAGAAAAAAAGACAGTTTTTGAATTCTTGTCCAAACATAGGGAACATTATCCTGCTCATGGATGTCCTCCTGGAGCGAATGAGGAGGGAAACATGGAAGAAGAAAGGAAGGATTGTGTCTGCTGGTGGGTGGAGTGAAGGGTCTTGAGAAAGATGATTCTTGTATTTAGAGGTTCTCTGTGTGTGGTGCGCACAAGGATACACACACAGACACACACACAGACACAGACGCAGCCCCTCCTCCAGATACTGCTGGCAGGTTTAACTGACAGTTGTAAAAAATCCTGACTGTCCGCCCACGTCCTTTATCACTCTTCCGTTTCTCACACATTCCTCATCTTCATCTTTGTAATTCCACGTCACAGGAGCAGCTGCCATCCAATTTTGTGTGTGTGTGTGTGTGTGTTTCAGGCCAGTGGAGATGAATGCAGGAACCTTTCACAGAAGCTGCTAATGTCTTTGCTTTCTTTTTCTGGTTTATGTCCAGTGATCAGTGAGCATTATTCAGATGTTGAAATCATAGAACATTGAACATTAAAAAACAGCAAGGTTGACCATTTATTCTAATACATTGCAATTTAACACATTCATTTTGTCATTAGCAGATATTGTTGTTTTATTTGTGAAGACGTTAAAGCTCTAGTTTTCTTTCCATTTAACTGTCCGGACAAACTATCATGACACTCTTTAGGCTAGAACCTGTACATTTTAAAGTCCAAATGAACAGAAACCAAAGCGAACATTAGCAAGCTTTTATGTTAGAACAGCTCCTCAAAAGTTGTTATGGAAATCTAAAGAAAGGAACATTACTGTCATAGCTAAAATTGGCTAGCATCTGTGTTAGCGTATCACTCAATATTAAGAAACCACTGTTACAGGTCTCCAGGAGTTTTAAAGCTAGAGCCGGCAGGCAAAAATGTGCACATGGGGCAGAGAGAGTTCGCATCTGAAGACAACGTGCACATACACACATTTTTGCGGTCCTTTTTAAATTTTAGGTCAATTGGTACATGGATGACATCCTGATTTTGACAGCTAGCGCTGTCCAAAAATGTACCTTCATGTTTTTAATTAAAAATGATGAATGAATGATCAAATTCTACCTCTCAAACTTTGAAATGAATAATTAAAAAAAACCCAACAAAAACAACAACCAACTTTTAACCCGTAATCAGGAACTTTTATTAAAAAAAAAAGTTAATTGTACAGTTCATCATGTTTTGTTATTTTAACTAATAAAACAGTGAACAGATATAAATATATATGCACGTAAAGGTTATTAAAAATGATGCAGATAGACATAATTCTCTTTGTTTGTCTGTTCAAGGACCTGCGATAGACAAACTTGACGTACCTCTGTAACAACACTGCCTCAAGGCTACGTGTGGTGGAGGAGGCCAGGGTGAGAAGAGGTGAGGCGCTTCATATGTGTACTCATATTAATGCCAAAGCAGTCGAAAGAACAATGAAACTAAAATTACACAAGAATAGGGCAAAGAAGTAGAGAAGCAGAGAAAGAAGGAGAGAGGGGAGGACACAGTTAGGAGAGGTGTGTCTGGGAATGCTGGAATGACAAAACATCCCATTATTGAGGGCCAGTCACTGCCAGCCTTTTCCGAGGGATTAAAGACGCACAATTGCACATGCACTGTGTGGCAAGTGTGTGCTTGCAGTAGAGCTGTGTGTGTTGAAATCCGTGCAACCCAATTCCACATTCCACTCATTGCTTACTGCATTTCATCATGAGTCCGGAGCAGGAGAATTCAGAGATAATAGGGAGGGGGTCAGGAGGTGTGAGGCTTTAAGAGACCTGTTCTGTGACAAGAAGCAGAGCTAAAGGCTGGAGTATGATTCTCTTTAGAGCAGAAGTATCGACTACAAGTCATCAAGACAACATTGGTTAATGTTTTACAATGCCTTAAAAAGTGATGTTGCTAAAAATGCTAACCGACCAATATCACAGTTATAGCCTTGGGATGTAATACGTTGTAAAAATGCAAAAAAAAAAAACAAACATTTTGTCATTGCACTCAAACTTCTTAGCATGAATAATGGTAGGCGTAGCATAACAGCCCTAGTGTTATGCTATGGTTAGCATCATTAAGCTATTGGTTAGAGTGTTGGCCTAATGCTCATAGAAAGCAGTAGTTGAACGAAAGTTATTGATTGTTTTATATATATATATATATATACACACAGGGGTTGGACAATGAAACTGAAACACTGGCCAATTTAGTGTTGGAGGTTTCATGGCTAAATTTGACCAGCCTGGTGTCAAATCTGCCAGTCTTCATTGATTGCACATTGCGATGTATCAAAAGCCACGGTATCCAGGGTATCCATGTCAGCATTTATATATATATATATATATATACACACACACATACAGAATGTATGTATAAGTACTAAAGTATGTGTCTATACTAAAGTATAAATGTATAAATACTAAAGTATATACTCTATGTATAAGTACTAAAGTATATTAGTTTTGTAAATCTGTAAAGCTGTAAAGCTATAGTTAAACTGAAGATAAATCAATTCAATCAGTTTCAGGTCATATCTTCTAATTCTGCCAATTAAAAAAAAGCATCATATTGTACCTTTAATTGAAGCGCACAGACATTATGACTGTCTGGTGAGGGAGCGTTGCACGTAATGTCCTCATGGGAAGACAGTGGGTGACCATGGGAACAAGGACAGCTGCCGACAGGTCTTTATGTAAGAAGATCAACAGTTTGTTTAGAGACCAAAGAAATGACATTAGTGAGATAACTGACTCCAACCACCTCAACTCAGTGTACAGAGAATGCTGTTCAGTATTCTGTATTTTGACAATAACGATGAATGATAATAAAAGCAAAATGGCAATAACAAATTGATTAAATAAAATAAGTTAGATGGGTTAGAGAGATAAACAATTCAAATACAGAAGACAATTAGACAAGAAACATACTACTGAAGCTAAACTAAAACAAAAAACAAATTAAAAATTGAGTAAGAAAATTGCCAAAGCACAAAATGGACATGAGATGTACACTCTCAAATGTTTAAAAGTTTGAGTTTTTTCTTAAAGCAGACGATAGAAAAGGCACATTTTTGGAACATAACATTTTTCTGCCTTCTTTGTGTCCTCAATTTAGACACCAAGAAGACAGAAAAAGTAAAAACAGTAAAAGGAGAAAACACAACAAGAAAGAAAAATGTTTTCCTAAACTTACAGAGCATAAAGCTAGTGTACTTATGTAGTATTTCTACTTGCGATGAAAGATATGCAATATTTTGTTTTTTCGTCATTAGGTGGGTTGACGATGTTAAAGGTAAATGGCGCCACCTGCTGACTAACACACCGTAGCAGTACGCCAGATTTCAGACTTGGTCACTGGTTATTAATAACTTATTTTATTAATAACTAATTAATGACATATTCAGTTCGAAACATGACTATAATCAATTTCTTAATATATGTTTTAAGTTTTACATCCATATTAAGGTAGAGCTGATGAGAGCTTGCGTCATAAACAATAGAAATACAAAATATTGTACCGAGGTAAAAATCTGCTTACTTTACTTTTTACGTAAACATTTTCATAACAATTATGACTTAATCGGAACAATTTCTAGATTTGTTTTCTCTTTATTGATGTCTACTAAGATATTCACTACATTACTTTGGATTGTGTATTTGTATGTTTTGTACTTAAAAGCTCATGGAAATTATATAATCCTTTGTCACATTCTGTCAGAAACTGCATGGATTATATTTGTGGAAATATAATCAAACATTCCTTCTGAAACAAAAATAACGGTGAGTAAATATGTTGCCCCCGGTTAAGTCAGCATAATTTTATTGAAGACATTTATACAAAGAGAGAAGCAATCACACTAATGCACTCATAGTTTAGTTAAATATTTAATGAACCACACAACAAACAACAAACAGCACATAATCTGATGGTTCCCGTTTTATTTAAATGGATACAACCACTGTTATATTTAATGACTTACATTTTATTTATTTATTTATCTACAGTTCAGCAGCCTCACTTTGTTGTTATTGCACACACACACACACACACATATATATATATAACACAAACCCACACATATATGGCGTTTTGGGCAGAAAACAGACACCAACAATTTGCTACAGTAAAACAAATACATGTTAAAGATATTAGATCATAAAACATGCATAAGGTAATTTTACATTTAAAGTTTAGAGATTAGAAAGAAAGAAGAAAAAAGAAGAACAGAACAAAGACATTTTTAGTGAGAAAAGTGTTTTCATGTAAAAAAAATACAAAGATATAAACAAAAGATAATTAGATTTCATTACATGAAAAAGAAAAAAGGACTTACATGGAAATAAAACTTTATAACCATTGTATTTTAATTTTACATTGTATTTGTACGTGAATAACTAAAATAATAAAACTAAATACAGAAATAAGACTAAGGCCATAAATTCAAAGTAAATTATTTTAGAAATATATTAGTGAATTTCCTTTTCCATTCATTTTAATAAGTGGATTATTTATGTGAAAAATGTATTTTTGTTGTTAGTAATGATGATGAGTGCATCACATGTAACTGTCAGACGTCAGTAGGTTCAAATATTCAACATAAAGTGGGGTTGGCTTCTGAATGAGGCAAAGACAATATCTTTAGATTTAAATCACAAAATCCTAGGCTCTCGACAATGAGGCTTCAGAACCTCCAGCGTCAGGATGAGCCTGACAGATTTTCTGAACCAGGGGTAGAAGGAGACGTAGATGAGAGGGTTTATGCAGGAGTTGATTAAGAGGAGCCAGGACAGAGCTGCGAAGTAGGACAAACTGTTGGAGGTGTTACTGCCTACCAGGGAAGGGTAGAAGTAGGGACAGACACAGATGAGAAAGACGGTGATTAGGATCCCCAGAGTTCTGGCCGCCTTCATCTCTGACACTTTGACCAACACAGTGTTGTTGTTGGTGGTGCCAACAGCAGCAGATCTCCGTGTGTGAATCAGGCGCATCTGAGACAGAGCAGCCAAGAAGACTCTCATGTACAGAACCACCATGATGGTACAGGGGCCGATGAACGTGACAAAGAGGTCAACGGTGCCCAAGATGTGGCTAAGGACCACCACGCACTCTCCCTGGCAGGAGTTGAATCGGTCGGGCCACGTCAGGTGGTCCATGAGGATCAGGCCATTGTAGAGGAGTGAGCAGACCCAGCAGGAGCCAACAGAGATCTTCACCTTAGTGAGTGTGACCTTAGAGGAGTAGAGGAGGGGTTCACAGATGGCCACATAACGGTCGATGGAGATGAGCACCATGTTGCCCAGAGACACAGAGACCAGGCAGTAGGAGAGCAACGGAGTCAGAGCACACATCAGCTTCCCCAGCAGCCAGCACGTCTCCATGTAACGCAGGCTCTCGATGGGCATCACCAGCAGCCCCACCAGGAGGTCAGAGACAGCCAGGGAGAGGAGCAGGATGTTGGTGGGCGTTTGCAGCTGCCTGAAGTGGCCAATGGAGATGATGACAAACAGATTGAGGGTCATGGTGAGCAGGGAGATGCAGGCCAGCAGCATGTACAGGAGGACGGTCTCAGAGTATGGCCGCAGCACCAGCCTCCTGCAGGAGGAGTTGAGGTTAGGGAAGCAGAGAGGAGTGCCCTGAGTGTCCTCCATTTAAGAGGAGGAGGAGGAGATAAGGAGGACACAAGACTCCTTCTAAGTGTCACCAGTTACTTATCCTGCTCGTCAAACAAAAACAAAACACCTCCTGTCTGATGCAATATCTAACATCATCACCATCACCATCACCATCATCATCACCATCATCATCACCATCATCATCATTATCATCATCATTATTTCAGACTTTCTATTTTTACATTTATGTCCAAAAAAGTAACTGACGTGTTCCTTATGAGGCAGAAAGACAGACAAGTTCTTCCATGTTACAAACTGACCATTTTGATCGTATAAAACCAGAAAATAAAACAAACTACTTCTATACAGGAACACACCTCAGTCTCTCCCCTGTTGCTCCTGTGTTTGGTGCATTTGACTTTAAAAAGGACATTTACTGCTCAATTTCTTAAACACAAGCTGCAAACTAGGGAGCATGGATCTGAGAGTGTCAGTCTAGGAGCAGTGTCATGTCAGAGAGCTAATTACATGTAGCCACATGCTGCAGAACCCCAGTTTTTACTCAATCTATTTAAGATTTCAGATAATAAAATGTAACCTCACCCGGCCACAGAACCTGTTTCTTTCCCAAAGCATGTCCGCACAACCATCACCAGAAAAACAGAGAAGCAATATTCTGTTTGTGACATGTTTTTGTGCTGCAACAAATAGTGCGTTCATGTTGTGCCCCCCGCCCCTTAAGTCTGTTTATATTAATATGTTCTCGTTTACACTACAGCTCTAACTCAAATGTTATATGAAATGTATTTTGCATAAGACATGGAGTTTTGGAGTGTGATTCCATTGGTGGTTGGTGGCGTTCCAGACAGATAATCATCATGTACAACCACCGTTGATCAGGTTAGGCCTTTGTTCAACAGTGTTCATTGTTGTTTATCTATGATTTTAAATAAGAATTCTCCAGTGGCTTTTTAGTGCAGTCCATTAGCCCATAGGCTATTACCAAAGTCAGTACTTAAAGCCTGACTTGGTTAAAGCCTAAATAACACAAAAATAGGTCATAAGTCGAAGTCATTTGTTGACAGCGTGGACCTCCCATTTCCTGCCTTCACCAAGGTTCCCTTCACCAGGTCAACTGCAGCTGAACTACCTTCACTAGTTCTGATGTCATGGTTCACATGTGCTCGTCTCTTCTAGATGCCTGATACACAGAGAGAGGTTGTGGGTGAGGTGGATGCTTCAGATGTTGAAGTTGGTACCATCCACCTTCAAAGATCAGCACACGACCAGAAGTTCCAGCCTTGTTCCTTCTTCACTCGCCGTCTATCCCCTCTGAAACAGAACTATGGAATTAGCAACAGGAGCTGCTGGAATTGGAACTAGTGGTGGAATCATTGGTTAGCGAGGGCAGAACTGTCATTTGTAGTAAGAACCGATCACAGAGACTTGGGCCAGATGGCCTCTGTCTTCTTCATTGTTTTCACCTTCCCGTGTCCTATCACCCAGACCCTCCACCGCACCCCAGCCTTCTCTTTTCCTCCCCTGTCCAGTCTCCAGTAGATGTCCTTAATTCTGGTCTTTATTAATAATCATTAATAACTGTGATGTTATACACTTTGATATTACAGTACATACGTTATTACTTTTAGCAATTTCTTTGTTTTTGTATAACAAAACCATATTTCCTGTTTTTGTCCAGTCTCCAGAAAAAGTCTCTTACGTTAAAAAATACAAATGTATTAATTTATATATATTTATTTCTATATATTTATATACTGTATACAGCATAGAGTTAAGTTGGTTGATCAGACAATTTTAAAGACAAATGTTTAACTTTTAATAACTAACAACAATGCAGTTACAATGAACCTGAATGATAAAGCTCCCTTTTTTTCATGATGTTTTTTTCTTCAGTGTTTTTTTGTTTGTTGTTGTACCGTTGCCCACTGTTGCATCATTAGGGCCTATGTTTGTTTTAGCACCTTAGATCTGTTGCCCCACAGGTGGGAACACAGACATTTGCTAATGAGACACTGAGCTCCGACGAGGAGTTGGTGAGAAACTTTAATTTGATCTGAGAGCTTTTGTTTTCCTCTTCATGTTTGTGGTATTATAAAATGTGTGAAATGATCGATTGCATCATGTATAACAAAAGATGATTTAAAGGCTAACTAGAAGCTAACATTTTGTTTTGTTTATCAAATCTTTCTGGCTTATTCAATATATTCCCAACCATTTTCTTCTAAAGTTGTGACCAGCTATTTGGAAATATGTTTGGTTTTGAGAACATTATCATATCAGGGCTATTGTTTTATGGGTTAGCAGTCAGTTGGGTGTTTTGTCACTTGTGGAGCCAGGTTTTAGGCCAGTTATAGGCAGATTTAATCTGATTTAATCCTTTTAAAAAAACTTTAATTACATTTATTTTCAAATTTAATCTAATATTTGTGTTCTTAATGTGTGGTTAATACTTGTCTGTTGGCTAACTTCTGTTTCATTTTTAGCTACATTTGAATACCTTATAACATTTGATTATTTTTTTTTCAATTATGAATGATATTTCTCATATTTCTTGTTGTAAGGTTTTTATTTTGTTTTTGTTTTGTTTTATCAGGTGTTGTCTTTATCTTTCTTAGCTTAACTGTTGCTCATGCAGGTGTCATTTATCAAAAAGTATTTTACTAACTCTTAGTTAGTTTAAGGTGATAAGTGGTGTGTTTTTGTCTATTTTTAATGCTATATTATGTTGAATTACAGTTCAGTAAGGCTTTTATTTTTATTTAATCTGTATTCAGCTTCTAGATGATTGTTTGTTAGCTAGAAGCTGAATATTCAACTACTTTAAGGCTCAAGTTTTTAAAAAAGTTATAAATCATATTTTTATTATTATGCTATGTACGTATGTCAAAGGTAAAGCAACAGAGATTGGAAACACACATTTGAACAACACTTTTTTTAATATAGAATGTTAAAGAATTTTCCAAAGTTGCCTGCAGATGCAGTGACTATTTTTTGTATTATCCCTAATAATCAAATGCTAGTTTGTGTAGGTTGTCCAATATTCCAGTATTGTTGACGACCTTTGAACTTCTAAGAAGCTTCATCAGCAGTGGAGTTGGTCTTGTTGTCACGGGTGACTGGAATGCTGTGCTCGTTGTAAACTGATTCACCTTGAGCGCTGGCCTTCGGACCAGTGATAGTCAGGACTCCATCGGCAGACAGGGAGCAGGTGACTGCTGATTGGTTGACGTTGGAGGGGAGGCGGTAACGGCGCTGAAACTGGCGGGAGATATAGCCATGGTCGTCCTGCAATACAATAGGATTAATGCTTTTAGTTTCATTTTCCATTTTATGCTCACAGTTTAATTGTGAGTGGTGTCCGTAGAGAAAATGGTTTTTAGCACAATATTAATTAGGTTCATAATCACAATATGTAGCAAAAGCTGTTAAAGGCTGGCAGTGAAAAAAAGTGGAAAACAAATGAAACTGTGTAGAATAAAAAATTAAGTATTAAGTAATTAAGTAAAAACCAACAAAGATTTAAAAATCCATAAAGTAACACATGTTGTCCAATATAAAATACCAAAGGTAAAGAAGCCCAAAGCATCGGAATAGTAATAACTGCAAATTAATATCAAGGTGAAAAATAGCAAGAAGAATCACATCCAGGCTGTTCTGGTTGACTAGCAGCTGTTTCCATTTGAGTTATCTTAAGGTCCAACTGAACTATTGCTTGGCCATATTTTAGCTGCCTTATGTCCTTTTAAGAAACTTTTTCAATCAAAGCCCTGTGATGACTTTTCTTTAAAGTGTCTGTATGATTGTTTTCTTTAAAGGAACGTTAGCGCCACCTGTCTTTCATCATGCTTGCCCCGGATCTCCACATAGTCATCGGTGACCTTTACGCTGAGCTCATCGGGAGAAAAATGCTTGACGTCCAGGTAGACTGTGAACTTGTCTCTGTCAGACCTCACCTAAGGAAGACAAAGAAACACACACATGTACACCCCACCCACACGCAAACAAACCCCCACACCCACACACACACACACAAAGACACCACACAAACAAACAGAAGTGATTTGTTTCTTTCTTTGACTTTTTGTTGTAATTCTCTAGGCTGACTATAGCCTGTTCCCTTGTTAACTGTATTGTCTTCTTAGTTGCCTTTCCTGTTTCTGTTGGACTGTTTTGATTCAGTGTTTGTATTATTTCTATTATTGACACTAGTCTACTTTGTTCAGATTTGAAGTTATCCAGTTATTATGACCAACTGTTAGCTGTCTCATGGCAAATGATTTATTTTGTTTGTTGTCTTTTTTTCTAGATTATATATATACTTAAACTTGATTTCTCCTTTTAATATCATCAAGTAATCCCACATATTTCCTACTTTGCAATTCAAGTCCAGAATGCCTGAGAATTAGCCATGCAGTTACCTCAGAGATTCCAGAGTTTGCAGAATCCCAGAAGCTGCGGAACATAGACTGTCTGTAATATGGGCTGATGGTAGAGGGGAAGAAGTCAAAGTCAAACATTCCTTCTCCAAAAAACTGGTCCACGAGTCTAGGACTGTAGTTAGAGCCCAGTCCACGTCTGAACCAGGGATGGTGAATAGAAACATCCATGGTGACAGATCCAGAGTCAGCCAGGTGCTGCCTCTCTTTTTATACCTGAGGGGCAGAAAGAGGGGCTTAAGCTTGGATCTCTCTGGAATGACATGAGCTCATGATGGGACGGGCACTGTCAGCAGAATTTGGACCCTGCAGCGTCACCTACACAACCAGACACCAAGCCTCTGCCCATACACATCACCCCGAGGGAGCAGGACCAAGAAAAAAGCAGGACCAAGGAAAAACAACGTGGCCTGGAATGAGGCCCTCCCAAAAAAACAAACAAAAAACACCCAAAACTTACCGCCTGGGTCATTTTAATAGGCCTTTAATAGGTGTTTATGACAGAGGAACATTGCTGCAATTGCGTTAAATGTTCTCTTTCAAGGCTAAAGATGAGATGTTTTGCTAACTTGTAGCAATTTCATGGCCATATTTTTAAATTACTGTCCTTGTTAACCCTTAGTTGTTTGCCCCATTTACAAATGTTCTGAATCAATCGTTATTACATTTTTTCCATACAGCAAAATTGTATTTATTTCGGGGCTAAAATGACTTTTTTTTTTAGTCAACTTTAAGCAAATTTTTCTGCTAACCCTAGTGTGGCTGTAGCTCCAAAGCTTTTACATTGTACGCAGTTAGGGGGGAAATATTCATTCATTCATATGTTCTTACCACCCTCTGCAGATCAGTGAAGGGAACTATTACCACAATCTAACAAAAAATAAATACCAGCATTCTGCAAAGTGTGGTAATATTAGGTCCAAGAAGAGGTAATTGTTGAGGACATGAATTACTTTTACTTCCTGTGACTTTTTGTATTACCATTTATCTAAATCCTGCTGGGCTTTAACTGGGCAGCACGGGGGCTTAGCTCCATCAGACATCAGACATATCAACTTGTACTGGTGTGGGTCTGGGCCAGGTCCACACCAGCTTTGGGCTGTTTAGCCAGCAGCCTGTGGGGTGCTCCATACCAGATACAGCTGTGATTTGTCAGTTGGATCTCCGCTAAGCAAAGTCAGCAATTTGGCTTTTTATCAATTGAACAAACAGAGGCTGTATCGAAGAGCTGTTTTGTCCACAGTCTGGTAATTTAAAGAATGAGCATGATACCTCCTGAATAACAGGGGTTAGCTAAAGATAGACAAATGTACCAGCATGACGGAGATTATTGCTCCATTACAAGTTATGCTGTTTCTCTGCACCCTTATGTCCTTCAGTCTTATTTATCTGAGCATATTTAAATCCTTGAAACCTTGTGTAAATTCAACCTCACCCCTAAAGGCCATGTATTACTATATGTGTTCTTGCAGTTTTGTGGCTTAGCATCCAATGAACTCAAACTAATTACCTTCTCCCCCTGTTTGCGGATCATTTGTCCTTTGCCCAAAAAATGTATTTACTTTTATTGCTATGTTGTGTCCTTGCAACCCTGAGCCTGGTATTCTTGCAATCTGCTGTCCTCTGCTGGAGACTTTATATAACTACCGCTGTGAATTTCAATACCTCCTTTGTGATTTCTATTTCCCTGTGCATCTTTGTCATGTAGCATTTTAAGCTTATTCAAGATAAGCTTAAAATGGTGGACTTGATCACATGAAGTCACTGCCCTCTACTGGTCAGTGGGTCACTTGAATGGCTCTTTTTAGGTTTTATATTACCTGGGTTGCAGCATAACAGCCTGTATGTTAGCACTTTATGAGATACCCAATCGATACTCGCTTTACTCCCATCACTAGTCAGGAGTAAAGGTTACATACCAAATAAGTTGGATGTGGATTAAGATGTGAATAAAACAGATAGAGTCAGTAGAATGGAATGAAGTTTGGAAGATTGACATTAAAAATGTCTTTGATGCTGGTTACTGGGCAGTCTGTCTGCTAGACTGAGGTTGGTATGGTAAGATAACATCGCTCAGGTATGTAGGTGAGCTGTAAGTGATGTACAGAAGGCAATGTTAGTATGTTGTCCTCTGGTTACCAGCATCTGCCCAGGTGACTTGTGCTGATCAACTGTTTCCTGTATTTACTCCCCACTGGGTATTTTTCAATTACCCATGGCATTATCATTGACCTATAAATAAAACTTTGGGGGTAAACATAACAGCAGGTTGATGGACTCGATGCAGAAAAAGGGCATGGAGGAAAATAAAACATTTGAATTACACCTGTAGGGTAGGTATTCAGGTGGATAGAGATGCAGGTTATATAAGTTAGAAGGCAGGTTTAGCCTGTTGGGTCAAACTGGAGTGGGATATAGTGCTTAAAGATGTATATGTTTGAGAATTAAACTCATGTAGATTGGTGACATAAAAGAGGTGCAGGTGGAAACAGAGGTAGGGATGGTTATTTTACATTTGCTTTTGACTATATATATATATATAAAGATATATGTATATATAGATGTATATAGTATGTATATAAATATTTTTGAGAATTTCCACCCCAGTATTTCCCTGGCATGGGAGAGTGAGTGGGTGACAGATGATGTTCTTCTATACCTGCTCTTATTTTTGACACCAGTCCAAGTAAGAAGAGTGACTCACACTCAGCAGCTCGTTATTCATCGTTAGCATCCACAGTGGGGAGTGAGGAGATATTATAGGTAATACACAGTCACGCTTCAGTCTCCCTGGGATCTTTTTACCTGATGGTACCAGTAGGGGGCTGATTGCACAGTGGGACTTGGTGACAATAATTAGTTCAGGTCACATTTGGCAACTGAATATTGTAGACAGTGTGCTTCATTTCATGTATTCGGGAGTTTTACTTTAGCCTCTATTTAAAGTATTTTTTTTTATTATGTAACGATCACACACCAGGTTAGTTGACAAAGTGGACATATAACAGTTGGCAAGCGCTCAGTGGGGAAAAAAAATAGAACTAAAACCTGACCAAACATCCAGTGAAATTACTGCCATAATGTGAGACAAAAATAATTATATCTAAGAGCAGGTTTGGTCAGGTATAATTATTAGAATATATATAAGTATAAAAACAACAAAAATCACAATACAAATGAATGCAAAGTTCAACAAAAAGAACACATAAATAGAGTAAGTATGTTGCTTAAATTTCTAGTCTAATGTCGATCCTGTGCACATTTAAATAAAATGACATAAGGTTAATGCTTGGTCAAAGGTGTTTAAAATTAGGTGACATGATGGCTTGCAAAAATTATATACTTAGAAATATCGCAGAAAATAAAAAAAGGTTAACTAAAGTATAACTAACTTATAATACCACGTAGCCTGAAAGAGTTAAGGAGAGGAAACGTATCAGGTTTTGTTTGATATTGTTAAATGGCTCACTCTAAAAAACAACTTAGAGGCTCTTACACCAGCACATTTTATACTTGGATTCAAGTTAAACAATCTGTTTAATCAGTTTAGATAACATTTTGAAGCATAACCTCATAAATTCTCTGCTTGATAACCTAATTCTCTGACAGGTTAGATATAGTTCTGAATGTAATGAAGTAGCTCTTGTTTCACTGACTGTGCTCAAGGGGAGGGCTGATGGGAAAGGCATTATTCATTTTTTTTTATTATTACAAATTACAAAGTAATATTATCTAATTTAAGTCTGGGCCACACAGTTCCACTAAACCCTATTCAGCCCTGTAGGCAAATTGTAGTTTGATATAAAGGGAAATCAAAATGGTAGAAAATTTGTATTTTATTGCTCTAAACTTTGACTAAAGAGAAAAAGCTCACAGCCGTGCATAATTTTCTGGTTAAACAAAATTCCAAATTTGAGTTTTTCCACTCATAACAAAAAGACTATTGGAAACTGTTATTTTTTTGTCTAAATATTTTGCTCACCCACATGAGGGCTTAAACACTAAAATAAAAGCTAAATAAAGATAGCTCGAAGATGGCACAGAAGAAAAGGAAAAAATAATCTACAACACAAAGATAGCATAATGTTGCAGATGTCTTGAGAATGTCTAGTTGGCTAAAAATGAGCCAAAGTTAGTAATTGTTGTTATTTAGTAAATTAACTACAATTCTCTCCAAACCTGTCCCTGTTTTTTAATCCTGTCGTTATGGAAATAAAAATGTAGATGTTTGAAACCAAAAGTGAAGTTTTTCACTTGGCTTCTGGGTTTTGAAAAACAGTTTAATTTAATGTTTTACTTGATGAGAGGCGGAGCCTAACAGTCTGTCCAATCAGAGTGGAGGCCCGACACTGTCATTTTTTAGTAGTTGTACCATTGCAAGTATGATCCTGCTCCATCCAGGCACCTGGAGCCTATCACCGACCCCAACTTTAGGACACAGCCTATGTACTTTACTTTTTTTTAGACACAAACTAAGTATTCACCTGTGGAAAACAAAAATCCAGGAAGTCTGAAAACAGGAAGCGACGGAACAGACCCAAATTACGACGCCGGGACACGTTGTGTGCGAGCCGCGGGGATGATGATGACAGACTCCGGAGCTCCAGAGCTTGAGCGGTCAGAGCTGGAGGACGTGACCGAGGAGGAGGACGTATTCGCCGAAGACGCGAGCTTCATTAGGTCGCTGGAGGAAAACCGCTCCCAGGTAAGAGTCTGCAATGATTTTCTGTTTCATAAATAACAACATAATACCGCCCTCCACCAGTGCGCTAATGTCACGTTTTAGCTTATGTTTACAAATAACTACGGGTAAAATCAAAGCCGCGGGAGCAGCGAACACAAATATCGCTATCAAAATATGTATACTTCAAGCTTTGGGGGGTCCCTGATTTTGTTGAATTTTGTAGGGACCAGCGGACATGGAGGTAGAGGTGGACTCGGTGTCCCAGATGGAGGCGGAGTTTGCCCAACTGACCCTCAGGAAACAGGTGTCTTACAGGTAGGGAAGAAAAGTAAACAGGAAAAAAGTGGAATGCGGCTCTCTTCCTGCTAACCTGCTCTACCTGAATTTTGAATTTCATGAGCCTGTTTTTAAATTTGCTGTGTATGTGTGAGAGAAATGTAGCAGATAAAAACAAAACTGTAATGTGCTCAGTTTTGGTGAGTTAAAAGAAGTTTATTGGGAGATTTGTAAGAGGAGAGTTTGACTGTTTTCAAGTGTATCTTGGACAAACGCACGTTTTGTGAAAAATAGTGTTTTATTCATGTAAGGTTGTCCTTTTAAACTGTTGAATGGCCCATTTTCTGTTGCCTATCCAAATGTTGATTGCTACACAGCAAGATAAGTGAGCTCTTTACCAACATCTTGATACAGTTTTAATTTAATAGACTTATTAGAGCACTCATATTCTTGCATCCTTACCAAATAATTTTTGGGGTTCAGTATTAGAAAGCTAGCATCCTAATACTTGCATTTATAGTGTATTCGTACACTTTTGCGTTGTACTGTGGCTACATATTTTCCATCTAAATATAGTAGCCTTTTTTTTTCTTTTTTCTGACTGTATCACCCAAGATGCAATTCCATCCTGTCATGAGTACCCAAATAATTTCCTCCCACATCCATCAACCTTTAATGCTACATACACACCTTAGTTGTTCAGCTCTAGTTCTCTAATCAAATTGAATCTCTGAAACAGTGTAGCTCAATCATCTGTTTTTTATTTTTGCATCTTAACTTTAGCAGCACAATTCACGTTTACTCCCTCAGGAACCTTAATTATTGTTCTTCTCTTAACTTGAGCACTTGTAGTTTAAACTCTAGCGTCCCAAAATTATAATCCTTCCTACTTGATTTCAACTGTGGTAGTCTTACTTTTGAATTTGCGCCACTCTTCTCCAACCTTCTGCTCCTGTTTCTGCTCTAACACTGTGGAAAAAGCTTCCCTGCAACATTTGCACAATTATTTAACAGTGTGAGGGCTTTTAAAAACTATATTAAGTTGTTCATATAGATTTTTTAAATACTGTACCATTAAACAGTGACTTTATTTAATTTAATTGTATTTTCTGTTCTTTCCCTTTTTGATATTTTTATTGATTCCTTGCACTTGGTCACCTTTGGCTTGTTCTAAAGACAATATTAATAAATGGTGATTGATGAATTGTTGATTTGCCTCACCCCTAGAAACCTAAGCCATGACATCTATCAAACTAACTCAAACACAAACTCTCTTCCTCACCAATTACTTACTTATTTACACTTATCTTTTCACCATGGCCTAACTTAATTTACGTAACCTAACGCTATTTCCCCGACTTTTGCAACGGCTATTATGCAACATTTTTCTTCTCAAGAAGAAACTCCAGTCTCTCCTCACACAGGGTCCTTAATTCTTTCCTCTTTTCACTCAAACAGCCCTGACTAACTCTGAACCTTTAACCTCTAATTCTTACTCTGAACCTTTCTGTCATATTAAGAGGCGTTCTATTTTGTGGTTTTGATGTCAGAACTGTACTTTACCAGCACTTTTGAGTTCACTCTAGACTCAATATTCATGCTGCTGCTGTTGTTCTCCCTGGGACTGAAATATCGGCCTGTCCGTTGCCTTGGACACCGTATTCGCACATGGATCTCTAATCTAATTGTCTTCCCTTCTCATGAACAGTTGTTTCTTTGATCAGCCACTGTCCAACTGCAATAGACAACCTCTCACTTAAATCCAGGGCAGCAACGTTGGTTATTTTTGTCATCTAATAATCTCCAAACAATCTCTAAGTGAAGAGAGAGAACAGAAGAGGCTTAAATCATAAAAAAAAACAAAAAACCCTTGAAGCTGATCAAGTGTCAGTCAGCGGCTAACAGCGGCTAATTAATTTGGCTGTTCACGCCTCATTGCTTATCTGTAGTAGTTCTTATGACCTTGTCAAATGTACTAAGCCAAAATGAATAATTTAAAGTTTAACTCGACACCAAGCTAAACCCCTTTGTTGCTCTGACACTGGTTGAATGTTTCAAATCAGTTGAGTCTGTGGAGCCTCTGGGCTGAATAACAGAGCAGAGAAGATGACCCCTCAGATGAATTATGTCTGAGAAAGATTCACCATCTCAACCTAAAGCTGACATGGAAAGTTCCTGTCACATTGGTCATTTCAAATGAGAAACAATACACACCTAAATGATACATAATTACATTTGAACTGCCATTGTCTACAATGGCTTTAAATCAAGAATTTTGTAATAGATGTTAGTGGGAGTAACGTTTGGAAAAAAAGATTCAATCTTTATGTTTTGTTACAGGTCTATTTAGTAATGAGGTAGAGCAGCATCATTTTTGTGGCTTTAGACCATTTTTGGCTCATGTGAGTTATACTTATTTGTGGGGTCAATGCAAGGCCTGTGATGATAACAAATTCTGCTGGACAATATACTGTTCCACAAATTTCTGCCGCTGAACAATATTATGGTCAACATTATTTTGAGAACAACTTAACCACTGGTGTATTGATTATATATCATAATTATGCAAGTGCAGCCTTTCAAATACAATAAATTTTAACTACTAGTATTTTTTTGCAATTATAGCAGTTATATATTTGTATATTGTAACATTTCTCGACCCATATCTAACATCATTTAATTTCTGTCTGAGTGACAAATGCAGTATTGGTTTAATACTAGTTGGACTCACAAAGCCTTAAAGTGAAGAGAGAACATGTTTTTATGTTGAAAGGTTCTTAAAATTGTTATGCAATTACTTCTCTATTTGGGACGTTGCTGTCATTTTGGTCAATATGACAAAAAAACTCATATAACAGTATTTAAATACCAATTGTTTACTGACAATAGAAATCAGATTTTTGTCCATGAACTTTCTTACAATAACGTTTGTAAATGGTTAACAAACATTTTGGTTTTTTGGGCAGTATGTCATATACCACATCAAACTTCTCTCATTTCACCCCCAAGCGTGATAAAACTGAACTTAGACTTTGTGATGGAGGCAGCATTGATTAATAACGTTTGAATCTGAAAATGAATGAAAACAATCAATAACTTTGTGTAATATCACATCGTGTTACTAGCAGTACAGAAAGGATTGTGTGCATTTGTGTTTGACGGGGTGGGGGCGGAGCCAACTACCACAGATGTCACTGATGTCAAATCTCTTGACTCACCAGAGCAGTTACATAAAGATAGGCTCTATCTGTGGTACTGTGATGCTCTCTCTCTTGCTTTCACTCTCGTTTTCTCTCTGTGTTGGGAGCCTACAAAGAGGATAGAGGAGGAGGAAGAGGCGGATGCAAGGGAGGAGGAGGAAGCTGTTGATGATTTAATTTTATTATAGTCTGCATCATCATTAGGCTGTCTCAGCCTAATGATGATGTTAAATTAAGATAATAACATTGTACACACACTGCCATTATTGTTGTAAGTAATATTAACCAGGTTTAAGGTTAAATCAGCAGCAGCAGCAGCAAACAGTTTGTCCTGTTTGTTGTGTTGTGTTCTGTGTAGATCACATGATTGCAGTGTGGATCTACTGTCGCCTCAGGCAAAACACAAATGTTCAACATCTGATGACCGGGACTGACATACACTGGTGCATTGATCATTCAAGAGAGCTGCTGTAAAAGTGGGAAAAGAAGAATAATCAGCTCAGTTTGCTAGCAGCCAAATAAAGTTAGAATCTTTTGCACATTCACAGCCCAGATTGCAGAAAAACACAGATGGCGAAAACAATTGGCCAAAATAAGAGACAGAAAACTGGCACAGCTCTTGGTAGACTTTTACACCTCCTGCAGCTATGTAGCCGTGATAAAAAGTAAAGAAAGTAATGATAAAAAGTGCAGGACTTTTTACTGTTATTATTTAAATCAAATCAAAGATGCTTTACATCATGGCTCATACTAAAGCCCCAAGATTTGCCTTTATGACTAATTATTCTTGTAGTTAATTTGTCAGTTTAATTTCAATTAAATCAAGGTAAAAGAAAAGGGTAGTCATTAATTTCAGCAGTCAGACTTCTGAAATGATCTAATTAAGGACCACTCTACCACCTCTATCAAAATCACAGCTTTGGCTAACATTAGCCTAACATATTAGCATTCCCTTTAATGGCTCGAGTTAGATTTGCTACTGCATAATACATACTATCCAACACCAGGACTGCACAGCTTATCGTTATTCCTCAAGTACTTTGGGCTGAGGTATCGGATCAGACAGGCTATAGATGTTCTTTTAATCCTGAGATTTTTATCAATATTGGACGATACCAATATCGTATCGTATCGGATTGAGCCATTCCTGTTAATATGAATCAAAGTTTTTCTCATTGATTTGACTGAGAAATCTAAATAGATATTATATATATTTAAAACAAAAATGAGTATTGTCCAAAATAACTTATAATTGCAAAAAATAAAAATAGTAGGTATTGTTATTATAATATTATATAATATTCTCCTTAAAAAATGTACGTAGCCCTAGGCTGGCCCCCAAAGCTACTGTTCTTAAAAGACAACAAAAATCAAGTTGAGGGAGAGCGTGAAGTAAACACAACAGCTAAAGCTAAAAAATCTGTAGCTCCCATCAAACCCTTGTGTTGCTTGTATAATGCATCAGATGTGCAGAACCAAAGCAGTGGAGGCGTCAGTGCTGTACAATTTCCTGCTCCTCATTAGGAATATTGTCTATTAGCTTAATGTGACTGTGTATAATCAGCTCTGAGGCTGCAGAGACAGAAAATGTAGGTCAGGTTGTGGGTGTTGGTAGGTTAAAAAGACTGCACTGAATTCTATGTCCTGTGGAGTGGCAGTGTGTTTGTTATGGAAATAAGGAGTGGGCGAGAACAGTGATAACAAGGAGGGAAGAAACAGGTGCATGTGTGTTTGTATGTATGAAGTATACACATATAGAGTGTGTTTCTTTCTGGCATGGCAACAGAGGCCAAAATCTGGTCGCAGCATGTTGAGTTTGTATAATCAGTACTTGAACATATGACCACTGGGATATAAGCATACATTAAATCATTTTAAAACACTTAAATATAAAGGTCAGTTTTATGTTTGATTTAAAGTAATCCAGCTTCCAAAACATTTATAAACATTGACAAATGCATGGTTGTCATTTGTTCATCATATAATTGGCCAAAGGCCAATACATGAACAAAACAATCTCCAATCCTTGAAACACCTAAATGTTTGCCAAAAAATAAGAAGTAGCCAAACTAACAAAATAAGTTATAAGCTAGCTAAACTAGCTAGACTAGACTAAAAACGAAGATGAAACACTAGCTATAAGCTAATGTTAGTACTGAATATAGATAGATAGATAGATAGATAGGTAGGTATGACTTTAATTATCCCTTGGCAGTTCCCTTCAAGAAATGATGCTAAGTAAGCTAAAGATAAATAGTAGTTAGACCAGAATTAGATAAACAATGGCTAATGTTAAATATAACTACAAGGCAATGGCACATTAACAAACAATTAAGGTAAGCTAAGTCAAAAAAAGGTCAAGCCTAGTAATAACGTAATAGCTTCTTTAGAGGAAGGAGACATTAAAAGAACAAAATGAAAAATATTTAAAAAAATAACCAAATGAAAAAATAAAGTACTGAGAACAGCTAAATACAAGTTTGAACAATGTAAGCTCATGTATATCTGAAAGTTATTCAAATAGTAAGAACAAACCCAAGGATAAAGTATAAAAAATTGTATAAAATAGAACTAACAAACTTAAAAAGGAGTCATATAAAATGTAAACATACTGTACAAATACTCTATATGTATATGTTTGTATGTTGATTGACAATTCTAGTGGTAACAGAAGGGCATTACAGCAGCAAGTATTGCAGGTAGTAATCATAGAATAACAAAGGTCATATTGTTTCTCAGAGTCATTGAATATGTTATTAAAAACATAAATACAATCTGAAATACTGCAAAGAACCAGTGTACTCGATACCACCACCCTGTGGTCGTTTGCAGAAATGGGTGAATGAAGAGGTCTGTGTTGAGTTTGTATGATATTTCTTACTTGTTTTTATGACCTATTGTAGACCACCTCTACCTGTCTAAATGAGGACAAACACCTGCTCTTAAAGATCAGAAGCTGTGCTTTTAAAGCATCCCTGCTACAATATCTTTTATATGGTTTGATTAGAAGGTATTTAAACTCTGTTTGAGAGAAAATATAAATCATGATTTTTGCCAAATCAGTCCAAACGCTGTACAGTCAGTGAATGCTGCTGCATGATCCTCCTCTTCGTAATGTGAGAGATATAGGAGTGGGAGGCAGCTGTGGGCTGCCAGCAGGCTGCTCCATAACACCTACGTGGTGTCTTTGAAGGTTGGATTTAAAGTGTGCAGAATGGGACCCTTTTTGGCCTTTCTCTGTAATTGAAGGATATACTACAGACATTACTTTAAATGGACAATTTTAGACAGCTTGGGGGCTGGACACTCAAAAAAACATGAAATAAAAATCAATTTTCTTCTAACATTATTATTTGATGTATCCAGTCACAGGGCAGATTATGATTACCACTGGCATATAGAGTGGACTTTGTCCTTAAAAATACAAAAAATCTTTGGCACTATGCCTGTTGAATAAAGTTTCAAGTAAATATCCAAACTACAGATTTTACGCATTACAGTTTTTTTTGCAGTTTCTGGAAATGAAGTCAGTAAGTTCAGGCAGCTAGCTGGTGAGCTACTAAGTAAGTTAGTGAGTGATTTTAAGTCAGGCATGTGACAGAGCAGCCAAGTGTGAGGCCCTTTAGTTTTTGTCAGAGTGAACTTCCTGGTTTCAGCCAGGAAGGCGGTGCAGAGAGAGAGAGAGAGTGAGTGTAAAAGAGTATGAAATGTGCGCGTGTGTGTGTATCGTTCTCACATGTGGTCAAGGATCTAAGTGAGAACCAGAAGAAAGACGGAGAAGAGGAGGAAAAGGAAGGTGAAAGGTTGAACTGGCCAAAGAAGAAGAGGAAGAAGAAAAGGAAAATAAGAAACTAGAAACAGAGGAGGAAACAAGGGTGGGGGAGAAGGAGGAGGAAGAAGAGTGAGGAGGTGAGGAGGACCCAAACCTATTAAAATAAACCAAAAAAACAAACAAAACCAAAACAAGCCATAACACTGACTTAGTGAGGAGGAGAAGGAGGAATGCTGGGAGGGATTATCTGTCCCTCAGGACTGAACACTAATCTCTTACACACACACACACACACACGCACGCACACACACACACACACACACACAAACGAGGACACCCTATTTGTGTTTTGTTAAAAGACCTTCGGATTATGGCCTTCTCCACAAGGTGGCCGTGTTTAAAGTCCTGCAAGTGTTTTTGCTCCACTTGAATTTCCTTTTTTAATATCTGTTGAATCCCTCTTTAATATTTTCTAAGGCAGCTTTGTTAGTTGTAAGATCTGTTGTCTGCCTTGTCTTTAGCTTTATTTCTTATGTTTCTGTTAGCTTTTTTATGGCTTTTCTTAAACTTTAGTATTTTTGGCCATATTACAGTTTTTCCTTGGTTTACTTTTTTATGCTTCTTTGCTAACACATACAGTAGCTATGTTTTGTTCTAGCTATCCTAACTGCTTTTGCAGTATATTGTTTGCCAAACCTTTATTATAGGATATCTATGAACTAATGGACTTTTCAGCTTTTCTTTGGACAAAGTCACATTTTTTGGTCAAAATCTATTCTCTCAATATGTTGGCTTTTATTCATTAGTTGCCAAATCTTAAGTTATTTTAGCAAACATTTTTTTCACAGCGAAACACTTAAACAAATGTTAAACAAATAGACCAGTTTTTATTCCGTATGAGCATTCAGATGATTATTGATGGGACCGTTGGACACCTTTTTCCTTGGGAAGTTTTGCTGCTCACAGTGAATATCATGCAAAAAACCTGCCACGTCATGTGACGCCTGTGACTGTACAATAGCCTGTCATGGACTCGGAACTTTGCTTCTATCTGGGACCTGAAGCTGCATCAGTAATGGAGGAACAAAGTGAAGAGACAGAAAAAGAAGAAATTGTGTTAGAAAAAATGCATGAAGTTGATGGAGAATTCAGCTCTGGATCCTCCTCCTCTTACTCCTCCTCTTGGGCCTCCTCTACTCTCCAGCCATTGGCTTCTTCCTCTGCCCCCATCTGCATGGATGAAGAGAAGGAGGTGCTCAGCGGCTGCTCCAAGTCCTTCACTGGACTGAAGATCTTCACCAGGAGGTAAAATAAAATCATTGTTTATAATCTAGGACAGTTTTCAGCACTGGCCAACAGATGGCGCTGTTAGATAGAATTTCACACACACCATCATGAACAGTCACCTTAATATAATGTTTCCTCAACATAATTTGACTTCTGTTTAAAATGTATCTTTAATTAAGCCCAAGGCCAACTTACCTTTAATGCTTAACCTAGAAAATGTCATTTTGGTCTAATTTGACTTCTTCATTTTAAACTGGACCTTGAAATGGCCGTACCTTATCATTACTAAAGCTACTACCACGTAATCAGTATTATTGATGCAATGTGCTTGATCAGTATTGTAGGAGTGTAAATCTAAGATTAGCCTAAGGTGACTTGACTTTAAACCATTGTCAGTGCTACCTTTATTTAAATTTTATATCATCAAGGCCCATAGAAATGTCAACTTGTCACTTGTTTAAAATAACAGCCCAACAAGAAATGTTGGATTATCTCATTGAATTAATTACAATTATGATTAATCTAAAGTAATTATTAATCCACAGCCTTTATGTGATTAACATGGGTGTAAAATGTGCAGTAATAGTACCAGGTAGACTATTAGATAGCATCTGACCTACTTCTGTGGATATCAGAAATCCACCAAAGTTGCTGAGTGTCTGTTCAAACCTGTCTAGTTCTATAGACTTTAGCCGTGAAGCTGATATGATGTTATTAAAGCTGCAGTTCTCTTGTTTAAATAAAAGAGTCAGGGGTTTCCCCCTGCACTATTTCCTGCTGCACTGGTTTGTCAGGGAATGATAGGGATTATGCTTGTGTGTGTATCTAACCTTGCCAGTGGGTCACTTGCTGACAGTGGACATGAATCCCACAGCAACAGGGGCTGCAGTTGTCATGCCAACCAACTGCAGCCCCTGTTGGGGGGGGGGGGGGGGGGGGGGAGGACACTTGTACTTCCAGCTCTGAGCTGACACGTCTCTGACCGCACTGTCAGTGTTTGCTGCTGGAAAGGGCATTATTATGTTCCATTTGCAACTCATTGGGTTAAATTGGTGCTGATTAGAAAACACAAGATGTTGTTAAGTGTGTATTGTCCTGGTCAGTGTGTTTTGATTGCCTTGCATTATCAGTGCAATCTCCTACTTTATCATTGGCACTTTGCCCAGTTTTTCAGGGTCTTGTTCAGAATTTTTTTTTTTTAACAACTTGATTTAAAGAATCTTAATCTGTGCAAACAGCTTTTCTTACTTTTGCCAAATATCAGCACGTTCTGGGTGTTAATAATAAAACCCAGTGTAAAATGGACGAAATGGAGGGAAATGCCACGCAAAGAATGGGGGGGGGGGGGGGGGGGGGGCCAAAAACCCCCCCCCCCCAAAAAAAAGACCAAGAAATATTGTCTTAGCTAAAGTGAGTTCTGTTACAATCTTAAAATAAAACTTGAAGTTGCACATAAAAACAGTTTTTTCAGGTGTTGTGTTGATGTGTTTACGTTTTTTAATTGTTGGGTTGTATTTCATGCTTTTGACACATTGCTGTAGGTGTAGAGCTCAATGAAACACCACTGATCCTTGTCTTCGTTCAGTAAATCATGGTGGTATTGAAGTTAGTGACTGATCTCTGTCTCATCATCCCTGGCTGCCATCGTTGTTATTAATCTTTATGCCTCTTCTTCTTATTTCTGTTCAACTGCTCCTAGGGGACCAGGATGGTAGCAGCAGTATCAGCAGAAACACTATATACCGTGTGTTGTAAATGATACACACTGGCAAGAAATTACAGATCAAGAGAATAAAAAAGTTAAAGTTGTTTTAAAGATAAGTAGTTTTACTTATCGTACTGTTTCTCACTACTGTTTCTCTCTATTTTTTTTGTCGAATGTTTCTGCTTGTGAAGAGAGAAAAGGGGATGTTAAATTGTGAATTCTTTTTCTATAGCTTTCTGTTTCCTCTTTCTCGGTCTCTGTGTGGGACTGTACGTTTCTGTAAACTCGTAACAGTCAGTTGAGCTCAGCCTGACGAGGAAGTACATAAAGTTAAAATGGTCCTCCTCTTTAGGCCACGCCCTCCTCTCCCTTTCTCTTGTCTTTAGGGCAGTGTTTGTTTAGCATGAGATGAGAGTAGTGGAAGCATGGATGGATAGCAGCCCTCTCTCCTTCAGGTCGGCTTCTCTTTCTGGTTTTTATACTTTTCATTGATTGTTGGTAAGAAAATTGTATTCAGTATTTATTTGTGCAGGTCTTAGCACACACACTGCTTTACTGTTCTAAATGAGTTTGAAAAGTTCAGATGTTTAGATTAGAGTAGCCATTGGTCTAATGCAGTACTGTTTTCCTTCTTGTCCAAGACAAACAAGTCCTGGTTTTACTCTGACCCTACAGGGTCACTAGATCACGTTGCACGCAACTGTTTCCCACAATTTTAGTTTTTAGTGTTAACTCAAAGGCTGAGCTGCAGCAACCTCTGAGCATTTAGTTGATTGGACACGGTACATGTTTTCTCAGAAGCTAACGCTAATGGATTTGGGGAAGTCATGCTGTGGTTAACTAACACAATTCTGAACGTGATTCCTTTAAACCAAACTGATTCCTGTGAAACCCAGGGTTGTTTTCTGTTTTTGCGATATGTGGTTGATTGCATTGAGTGCTGCTCTCACTTTTCACTGTTACCGTCATATCAAGTTCAAGAGTGTTTGAAAGGAAGTTCAAATCAACAAGAATGTTTCAGCAAACGATCCTCAGATGGAAGGTCGATTGGACTCTCGGTCGATTTCACAAGGTTTAAAGTCGTTTTCTGAGATACAAAAAGCAGTTTATTATAATAGGTTCCTAGCCTATTTAGTCAGAAAGTGTTAAAGTCTAAGTTTCTACCTTTCTGATAAAAGTCAGGGTCATTGAAAACTAGGTAGAGTCAAGTCAAAATCGAATAACAGCTATTTACCGTTACTTTATACATACTGTAAGTGGTTGAGCCTGGTCTTGTGTTGTCTTGTTGTAAATAAAACAATTTTAATCAATGGACTACCGTGGCAGAGATTGAGAAACTTTCCACACTTATTTTTTACATCTACAGAAAAAACCTCAGAATACATAGACTTCATCAGGTTAAAAATTTTAATTGGAAGAAAGAAAGTTATAATGTGGCATAGTTGGTCGTTGTGCATGTGCTAATGGAGTGCTAATTTACACGCTACAATCTTTTTTTAAACAACTGTTTGGTCCTAAAACATGTTATCATTTAGACTGATGATAGAGAGGGAGAGAAAGAAAGAAGTGAGTGTTTTATAAAAATTGTTTATATTAAAAACATCTCTGCATGGAGCGGGGGAGGGGACGTCGTACGGGTCTGGTTACCAGACTCCATATACAGTATGATGGAAAATAAATAAGTCATAGCTTAACAAAGCTTTACAGATTATGATAACCCTTAGATCCAAATATTAGTCAAACACAAATATTGGTTCTCTTTAGTGCTCTCGTGTCTTCCATCAAATACTGTAATTACAAAATGCCATATATAGTAGGAACACTCTTTTCAAATATCAAAAAACTAAAATCCAAAAGTGTTGTCACAATTTCAAAATGTTTTAGCAGCGTCCCTAGTCGAGCTACGATAACAACCCCTAGCAAGTTTATGTGTGAAGACAGCGAGATACTGTTATCTCACAGGAAAGTGAGGACAAAAACTAAATGGAACAAAACATGGGTATGTCTATGGTAGAACTGTTGCCCCCCACACCCTCCCTCCAGAAAAACAACAGCAACCACCCTCCCAATACAAAATGTATATATTTATAAAATGTTGCTTTTTTGTTTGCAAACTTTGACAAACACACATTTAATGTGATCACAAAAATTATCTCCAGCACAAGAACACAAATTTGTTCTTCTTCTAAATGATGATATTTACATACCATAGAACCTTGAGGAATTCAGCATATTCTCATACACGGAAAATTTGGCTCAACAACTTTTCAACCTTTTACAGATTTAAGTCAACAACAGTTTTCTGTTTTGTCAACAGCTATTTTGGCTGTAACAAACTCCATTCCTCAACATTTACAAACCTGGCCTCAGTGTTTTGCTGTAAATATTTAATTCTGCAGCAAAGAGAACTGGATAGTCTCACGCATCAGACAAAAATGTCTTCAAATAGTGTGTCCGTATGGTCGACTGTAGAAAGAAACATCATCCTGTGATGACTTTAAGTTAATATAAAAATGAAGCCTCAGCCAAAAGCAGCTGGAGAATCGCTGGATATGTTACTTTAAGTTTTGACAAGCAAAATGATCTGGTGAATATTGTAGGGACAACTTATACTTAAATGGAGGAATGAAGCTATCTTCACTGTTTTCAGCACTTTTTTTTTTTATTTTTGCAGTTTTGGTAATTTTTTCATGTATATTTGGTATATTTTACAGATGTTTCCTATTCAGTGTTTAGGCTAACATTAGGCCAACCTAATATTGTCATTCATATGCTACCGCTAAATTCTTTCATGGTCGTGGAAGGCCTGGAACTAATCCCAGCAGTCATGAGCAGGGAACTGCAGTTCACTAGTCCATCACAGTATTAGTTTTCTTTGCTAAATATATCTTTTGATTTTGTCATGGACATTTTGGTTTGCTTTGATTTCTTTATCTTCTCTGTCTTTATAAATTTCTTTGCCTTAATGAATACATTGCAGATGGCTAATATCTTTTTTTATATAATAATAATTTTTTTTTTACCGTTATTATAGCAAACTGGTTTTAATCTTGTGAGCAAAAGCAAAGTTGTGGCTTACTACCTTTTTATAGCTAACTTAGCTAACAGTTTCATGTTCAATTTTTTTTTTTGTTAGCATTTTGGTATTATTACTAAATTTTGAGACTATGAAAAGTACTTTCTCAGGTTAAACAGATATTAATAAAGGCCTAAAAAGGACAGTTCAAGGGTATTATTTGCAGAGTTTTGTCCTGCAGAGCACAGTTTAACTGTTTTCAAAAACTCAAATATTGGTATCATTGCCAGAAATTGG